TGGAAGAGTGAAGAGCCACCTACCGACGAATTGATTTTAAAAAAACGATCTTGGACTGTGCAGAAATGGACGACTGACTTTGTCACTGAAGGAGAAAGAAGATACAGCCTTCTATCAAACCTGGGACTCATTTTATTATTGGCTAGAGAAACGGGACTTTGCATAGACTTAAATATGTTTACAGTTTAACATAAAAAGAAAAAATGTGGGGGGCTGACCCAGTAGGTCCGATGTTTCTGATGACTGATGTTGTTTTTAGTTTTTTCTTTGTGTTAGGTTTATTTAGAATAACACTTATTCAAAAAGAAAAAGAGAGAGAGAAATCGCACCTTGCTCCCTCACAGATCATCGATTTCATTGGAGCCCGGCTCGACTCTACGATGGCGAAAGCCTTCCTCCCACAAGGACGACAAGACAATCTTCGTGCATCCATCTATCGAATCCACATGGACAGAACTGTTCCAGCACTATCAGTGCAGAAACTCCTTGGTCACATGGCCTCCACAGTCTCCGTAGTCCTGCATGCCAAACTACGAATGAGGTCCCTTCAATTATGGTTCAACGGTCTCTTCCAACCCCAACGAGACTCGCCTCAGCGGCTTCTCTGCCTTCCAACCTCTGTCCTCCAGACCTTATCTTGGTGGACTATGCAAAGCAATCTGTCTGTCAGCGTTCCGTTCCATCCGCCTCACCCAACTCTGACTCTGTTCACCGATGCCTCCCTTACGGGTGGGGAGCCCTGTGTGCCGGACTCTGTACTCAGGGCACCTGGGACTATCGGGAGACCGCCAAATGCATCAATTACCTAGAACTGTTGGCAGTCTTCAAAGCCCTTCGGTCATTCAAGGGCACTCTTCGGGGCAAATTGTTCAGGTTGCCTCCGACAACATTGTGACTGTATTCTACATAAACAAGCAAGGCGGAATGAAGTCCGCCTCCCTGGCCCACCTGGCTATGCAACTGTGGGACTGGTGTATCCTGAGGGAGATTACCCTCCTCGCCGTTCACCTAGCCGGTATTGACAACAAGGAGGCGGACACACTCAGCAGACAGATGTCGACGACCCACGAATAGGAACTAGATCGTCAGACCTGTCATCACCTCTTCCAGACATGGGACTGTCCTGACATAGATCTGTTCGCCACTCACACGAACAAGGTGTGCAAGATGTTCTGCTCTCATGGAGGCATTGGCCCGGGTTTGAAGGGAGACGCTCTCATGATCCCCTGGGCGAACACGTTCTTTATGCGTTTCCCCCGATTCCACTTATAATGAGAGTCCTTGCCAAGATCACTTACGACAACACCCAGGGAATCCTCATCACTCCCTGGTGGCCCCATCAACCATGGTTCCCTACTCTTCTCCATCCGTCTGGCAACACCTTTTGGCAATTGCCTCTTATACCTCATCTGATCACTCAACAGAACGGAGCTGTTCGTCACCCAGGTCTTTTTTCACTCAATATGACAGCCTAGCTCATTCAATGAACCATGGGGCCCCTGCGGTACCAGCGGCTTCAGTGGCTCCGACACTGGCCTGACACCTTTCAGATACGGCTCCTCTTTCTCCCTTGATGCCGGCAAATGCCTCATTGAATCCGAGTACTCTGCATCCCGATATTCAGTTCATTCTCCAGCGACCTGCAACCCGCCAATCTTACGTGGCCAAATGGAGGCGATTTACATCTTTTGCTGAATCTAATAGCTTTATTGCTCATTCAGCCTCCATTGAAAATATTCTTCAATTTCTCTTATCACTACATCAGTCGGGACTTAAGCCATCATCTCTCAAAGTTTACACTGCTGCAATCTCCCATTATCGTGGCCATATGCTGGGTTCTTCAGTATTTTCACATACCCTCATTCGTCAATTCCTTAAGGGATTACAGAACCTACAACCACCAGTTAGACCAGTTAATCCTACTTGGAGCCTCTCTGTTGTTTTGCAGGCGCTCACTTGACCTCCTTTCGAGCCCTTGACAACTACTGACTTACGCCTCTTGTCTTGGAAGACTGCTTTTCTCATCACTATCACATCTGCTAGAAGGACCAGTGAGCTCTGTGCACTCAGTATAGATCCTCCCTATCTCAACTTCCATAAGGAGAAGGTTGTCCTCTGTACCGATCCAGCGTTTTTACCTAAAATTGTGTCTCCTTTCCATATTAATCAAGCCATCGTCTTACCAGCTTTCTTCCCCACTCCATCTACACCAATAGAACGATCGCTTCTCTCTCTCAACATTCGTCGTTGCCTTGCCTTTTACAGGTCGCACACAGAGTGCTTGCACAAATCTAACCCTCTTTTAATCAAGTACTCAGAACGTGACTGGTTCTCCTATTGGATCCCAGAGACTTTTGAAATGGATCGTGCAGACCATCAAACTGGCATATCAGCTTGCTAAATTAGACTTACCTGTCATGCCCAGAGGGCACTCTACGCGGGCAGTAGCAGCTTCTTCTGCCTTTTCTGCTGGCATCCCGATCCAGGACATATGCAAGGCTGCCACTTGGACTACTCCTTGCACCTTTGCCAGACATTACTGCCTTGATGTGTGTGCCAGACATGATTGCTCCTTTGGTCGGGCAATCCTTTCTTCTGTTCTCCAATGATGACATCGCCCGCCTCCGGGTTCGATAAGCTTGCTAGTCATCCATATGTGTGATGCACAGAGGCCACGACGAAGAAAGGCAGGTTGCTCACCTGTAACTGTCGTTCTTCGAGTGGCCATCTGTGCATTCACACAACCCACCCGCCGGCCCCGCTTGGTGTCAGTGACTGGGTTTCTACGGTACCGTTTTATTTAATACCAGATCCGTTAGTAGTTTCTCTCTTAATGTATGGATTTATTGCATGTGCTTTCTACTGCTCAGCAGATTCCCTGCAATGTCTCACGTTTGCATGCGGGGGGGGGGGGCAAACTATTGGTCTCCAGTAGACTGAGGAAATGGCGGGCACTCCGCCTTCTTATACTGTAGGGGGGGGGGGGTGCGGAGTTCCCACCAAAATCGTTAAGCTGTAAATCTTTCCAGCCACAGGCACTGCGCAGGTGCAGCACCCATAAGTGTGATGCACAGAGGCCACTCAAAGAACGACAGTTACAGGTGAGCAAACTGCCTTTATGAAATTGGCTTCCTGTTAACTTGGCACCTTCATATTTAAGACTTGAATGGGTTGCTTGAGCACAACAGACTCAGTGGAGCAGTCCCATTCGATATTGCCTTGAGAGTTAGTTTCATTCTTGATGTATTTATATACACTTAGAGGGAGAGAGTAAATCACAGGATAATCACTGTAAATATCAATAACATGAAGTGAGGATTACATAGGGATTGTAAGTACCATTATTTTCATATTACCCAGGATACAAGATTAAGGCAAGAAAAAATATCCTAGCCTGACATGCATACAAAATAATGCTAGGTACCGAGGCCACTTGGAAGGTGAGTGGCAGAACCAGGAGTGAAAATTCTGGCCTAGGAACTTGATTGGTGAGCTCTTCCTTTGTGTTGAGGCTGCATCATGACTTCAGGGGTGGGCCCTCATGATGTCACAATGGAGGACAGTGAGGTCTTACTGTTTCCATGCTGTCTAGGAAAGCACATGTTATCTCTGAATAAAAGGGGCTAGGCAATTGAGCATTTAATATCCTTTGAACATCCATCTGCAAGGGAGGTCAAATCAGATTTAAAATGGCTTCTTCTCAATTTCCTCAGTGATGTAACAGTTTTAGAATTAACACATGAGTGAGGGAAACAGTCAGTGTTTGCAAATGGAGGCCTTGCCAGTTCTCATGTTAGGAGACATTTGGGGTATTTCTTTTTATTTTGCTGTGTCCTCTCTGAGTTGCTTTCACTTCTTCTTAGGCAGCAAGTGGTATAGCAAAAATGCCTCTTAAAAAACGAAAGTCTTCTGAAAGTTGTTGGCAGCAGAAGCCCAGTGACCATTTTAGATCGTGCGTGGCCTGTGACATAAAGGGCACTTTGGGTCTTGGCGAACGAGCTTCTAACATGTATTCCCCAACGCGTAGAGTACATTTTATGACAGATCTGCCTGGAAGGGAGTCTGCCTCTGACTGTGGTGATAGTCGCAGAGCCTCCTCAAGAACTCTTTTGAGGTCTTTTAAGGCCATGAAGAAAGAGCTGGAGAATAAAAGGGATCTCCTTAGCCCTGAACTGTTAGACACCGAGTGGGATGTAGCTAGTGAGGGACCAGATCTTCAGAGGGTGAGTGCAAAACCATTAAATGCTAAGTGGTAAGACAGTTCTGTTTTGGTACCCCTCTCTCCCCAAAAAAATTAACTTACCCTTTTTCTCTCTCACGCACACATGTGTGCACAAACAGAGTTTGGAAAGTCCCATTCAACTTTTGTTAATACAAGTCTTGAGTGAAGAAGTCGTGCATTTTAAACTGTTCTGCGCTCGCTCGCTCGCTCCCTCCCTCCCTCCCTCCCTCCCTCCCTCTCCCCTCTCTGCATACATTATTTAATGAGAGGAATTCTACCTTCATGTTTCTGTTTCAGAAAAAAACATGTACATTTAAACAAGAGCCAGTTTACTGAGATGTTCCCATTCCATGGATTCTCCCATTCTATGTTGTGTCTCAGCAACTATCTAAGAATAGATGTTTCAAGATGGTGTACAAATATGTTCTGGTGGCTGGAACCTGGTTGGGTTTTGCTTTTTGCTTTTTTTTTTTTTTTTTTTTTTTTTTTTTTTTTTGCACGATCTGTTATTGATAACAGCTCAGCAAGTGATGTGTCCTGCCCTCCATTCCATTCCCTGTCACCAAGCTTTTTAAATTAATGACTTGCTTTTGCTTTTCAGCATGGAAGCATGCTCCTTTATACTGAATTAATTTTCTGTATTTAGCTGAACTGATGTATATATAAGAACTTGAGGATGCCTCAGTGATCTGAATGGTAAAATACCTTTTCTTTCCCTCTGTGCTTTGAACTGGTTCTGGTACTTAGAAAAATAATTTGCATCTTTCTTTCATAAAAGTCACAGTCAGTCCTTGTCTGCAGAGAGGACGATTACTCTGTAACAGTCAAAGCATGTGACAAAGCATTAAGAGAGAACCAGAAGCTCAAAGGACAAATAAGTGCTGTTGAAGAGAGAGAGAAGCACAAGGTAACACACGTTGTTCTCTTTTTTAATGGCAGGGGTACATTTTAGCCTTATCTAGACTTCTCCATGAAATAAAACTGCTAACGCACTTGTTTGAAACTTCTGCTTAACATCACCACTTGCTCCAATCCATAGGGAAGGATTGTTCAAAAATTAATTCACCAAGTTGAAAGTACTTGGTAGATTTTATTATGGTTACTATTATCATTTATTATGTACATTCTATTATATTTAAACGTTTGTTACCCAATCCATGGTTTTTTGGCAAACAATAGAACAAACTTAAGGTTGTTTTGTCAACCCCATGGATGCTGTAGCACCTGCATATAGAGCATCTGTGTATGAATGTGTTTTTATTGCTCTTGCCTCATGTCTTGTAGCCTGGTAAAACAGCCCAAGGTTCTGGGTTCACTTGGAAACAACCACTCATGGTTTCTTTTTTTGGTTGTCCTTGCTTAACAAATCATGGTTTGTTAGCATGGCTGGGTTCGCACAACACAGTAACCCTGAATTCAATAATCCATAACATGTGCTAATGTTAAGTACAAACCCAGCTAGTGATTGTTGTTGTTGTTGTTATTCGCGAAGTCGTGTTCGACCCATCGCGACCCCATGGACAACATTCCTCCAGGCCTTTCTGTCCTCCACCATCCCCTGGAGTCCACTCAAGCTCACACCAACTGCTTCAGTGACTCCATCTAGCCACCTCATTCTCTGCCATCCCCTTCTTCTTCTGCCATCTGTTGTGGCAAAATAGATGGCAAAAGTGATTATTAGATGGTCTAGTTTCAGAAGTCACCTGGCAGAATCTGTCAGCAATTTTAGAGCTGATTCTTGTTTGACATCAGCATAAATCTGCTATCATCAGCACAAAGGAAGGTTTAGCATGTCTAAAATGGGGCACAGACACTGATTTGAAGGCATAGGGTGCCATTAGAATGGTTGAAGCCAAGCAGGCCTCCTCCTCTTTAGTGCAGGGAAGAGTGCTGGGAAGCTCCACCAGTATAAAGTTATAAACCAGTGTAATAAGTAGAATTGCACACATGGAACTGATGGAAAGGAGGAGGCTCTGTTAACCAACTGTGTGATTAGCCATAAAGACTTTGACAGCCAAATGCTATAGTCTCATTGCTCTTAGCTTCAGCAGTGCAGTTGCCTGTGTCTAAAACTTTGCTCTGTTCCTGCCCCAGGAATGTGTTCTGCCCATGGCAGAATCTGGACCCACCCGCAAAAGGTCTCAGGTTCAGTTCTTGGCATCTCCAGGCAGGGCCTTGACACCCTATTGCCCATAACCCCAGAAAACTGCTGTTAGTCAGACTCAACAGTTCAGCACTAGATGGGCTGATTCTCTGACTCAATATACAGCAGTGTCCCTCTGTTTCTAGCTGAATTAGCAGAGCAGCAACATAGAGAATAATGATAGCAATCTACTTAAAAGACCGAGTCACTAAGAGAATAAACAGGAGGCACTTTGAAATCTCAGAAACAGCATTGTATGAATGCAGGATGCCATTTTGTGATGGTGTTCAGGGCTGAGGGAAACCAAGATAGCGTTCTAAGAGCCTGAAATGAAGGTGTCATTTACCTAAACACTGGCAGCCACTCTATACTGAGCCAGACCATAGATCCATTGGCCTTTGTCTAATCTGTTTGGCAGGTTTTTGCCAGGCCTGTGATCTGAGGACTTTCAAGAGAAGATGCTGTGACAGAACCTGGGATTTTCTGTGCGCAGGGCCATGTTCAGCCCCGGAGCCATGCTCATGACTGGCAGACCCTCCAATCAAAATGGGTCATTCTGTGATTGCACTGCTCTCCCATAGTTTTGTTTTGTCCTTTAGGTAATGAATTTACAACGCAAGCTGGATGAATTGAAGGAAGATAATGTCAAAATGACAACAATGCTAGAAAATGTATTGGCTTCTCATAACAAAATGCAGGTCGCCCTGGAGAAGGTGCAGACTGAATTGGGGCAAAAGGATTCTGAGATTGCTGGCCTGAAGAAGGATAGGTAACTGGGTTTGCATCTTTCTACTTTGTGTCCCATTCCAGGTACTTAGTGGGTCCAAGCAGTGAAATTTTAACTGGGATGTGTTTTATCTTACAGCAGAACACTTTTAGCAGGTACTGGAGGAATTAGTTCATATTGGGATAAAATACTCTGGGGTAACCCACCAGAAAACTTCAGCTATGGGGTTGTAGAGAAATGAAAATAATAATAATAATAATAATAATAATAATAATAATAATAGTTATTAGTCTCTAGTGAATTCTCATTTGCTTATAGAATATCTGTTTACAAAGAACAAACAGCCATGCAGATCCATGAGAAAAAAAATCCACAATCTACACTGGATGATACCTTCATTAGGATCAACCAAAATTCCACCAAAAACATGAAGAATTTACTAGTAAAGGTATCACCCAACTGTAGATCTTGGATGTTTGTTTTCTAATTTTGTCTGAAATACTATATTTAATCTATGTTCTCTCGACTTAAAGACAAGAAGCAAAGTGCAAAGTTGGCAGGGAGAGGTAGGATGAGGTACAATTAAGTCAGCACTTGGTTTGAGCTCACCCTGGCAGGCACACACACTCGCTGACCTCAGTAGAACTTTCTGCTACTTTGAATAATTTGAGTTCTGATGTCTATAGTGTGGGAGAGCCCATGCCCTCTTTTGGCAACTGGTTCCATTGTCGTTTTGCTCTGACCATTAGGAAGTTTTTCCTGGTGATGGGGGGAAAGTCCTAGAAGCATCCACTAGCCAGCCATGCTTTTTTCTCTTAGTCTAAACTTACGTGAGATTGCATTTTAGGATGATCATTGACTTACAAAGGGATGAGTGGGGAAGAAGCCAGCAACTTTGGGAGGGATTTTGAAACATTTCTCAAGGATGAGGAAACTAATTCAAATTCTGTTTTGACTTGAAGTCATTTAAAAATCAAGGCTAATTCATTCCAATGGTTTTTTTAAAAAATCAGAAATAATTCCTTTTGGGGCAGGGGAAACAGTACCTGTGACGGTTTAACTTTATCTGAAAATATTCCAGTTGTTCTGCAACCGCATGTTTTAATTGTTCATAGAGAGAAATTGGTTGTGCCATTTTTGAGGCTGTGCTGAAAGTAAAAGTGTGAAGGTAATTTCTTTGGCACCTGCTGCCATTGTTCTCTCTCCGCTCTCACGTACAGGACTCAGGGCCACCAAAGGATTCAGAAATTAGAGGCGGAATTGGAGCAATGTCAGAACAAACTTGTCCTGGAGTCGCAGCACAATATAAAGGTAAATGCCAACACCTTCCAAGGAGGGAACCAGATTAAAATGGGCAGTACATTTAGTGTAGACAGTCATCCTGAAAATTTTGTAGCCTAGATAAAGGAAATTTGCCTTTCAGTTTGCAAATAATTGACATCATTTGCTGGAAGCATAGTGTCTGTTTGGCCAGTGATTGTTACTTTTTCATCCTTGTTGCCTAGGGTTCCTAGGGAGAACAGGAAGAGCAAGTTGATCATCTGAGTAAAATAGGCAGTCATAAATAAAATCAGGTATATTTCATAAAATCATTGCTGCTGTGTGCTTTCCTCCCCGTAAAAGATGGATCCACTTCGCAAAGCGCTGGAAGTCTCTAAAGCGGACAACAAGAAGCTTGCTCAAAGCTTAGAGCAGTCTCTACAGACCAATGAAGCCCTGCAAAGCAAGCTGCTGCTTGTTCAGGATGAGTTAGAAAGCAAGGAAGATGAGTATCAGCAACTAATGGAATGCCGGTAAGATCCCCACCAACTAGACGCAAGTGCTTTTCCCTTGTGAAAAATATTTAATGAAAAGTGAAAGTGGTACTTTGGACCTGGCCTCCGGGCAACCAAAATCTTGCTCTTGCTCATGCTGAACCAGATGCTTGGTTTAAAGCAAAGAGGCCTGCTCTGTAGTTTTGAAATGTGCCCGCAGCTCGGAAAACAAATGCAAGATGCATTTTGGAAGTGCTGCTGTGGGATGTGTTAGGAATGTGCCTTGCTGTCCGAAGTGAAGGGAGTGACTTCCTTCACTGTGCCTGTCCCTCTGCCTTTCCTAAAGGGACCAGCTAATTGAGGAAACCAGGACGGAGGCAAAGCTGTACGCAGACCGCCTTGAGACTCTGAAGAAACAGTTCCAGACTGAAAGGGAAGTCACAAAGAAAGCCGCCCACAAGGAATCAACCGAGGTGAGGGAAGGGAAGGGAAGGGAAGGAGCATCTGAACTTTCTTAGTCTGTTTTCCAGGCATGAGCCATTGTCACAACTGTCACGCTGAACAGTGATAGAGAGAGCAGTCCTTGGCACACCATCACACTAGTTGCATTAGATACATCTGTGGGCACAAACAGTGCTCAGGTTGTGCAAGCAAAACTAGAGAAATCAAGAGCATGTTCTTTAAGTCTGCCTTCTTACTTGTGCTTTCTAAGAACTTTCTAACGTGAGATGCTGGGACAGAAGCTGGGGTCTTCTGCAGGTAGAGCGTGGGTGGAACCTGTCCAGGAGCTGGAACGGGGACCTCACATAGCCTGTGCAAGACTCCCTAGACCAGGCGTGGGGAGCCTCTGCTTAGTGGGCCAGGTCTGGCTCTGGGAGAGTCCCCATCTGGCCTGAGGGCTACTTCTAGCAGCAACAAATGGCTGTTGCTGTTAGTTGCAAACAGGTAAACCATACATACCCCATTCTCAAAAACCCTGCATGAAACAGTTCTTTGCAGGCGTGAAAGTCATTGCTCTGGGGCTTACTCCTGTGTGGACATGCTTAGTAAAATTGACAAGGGTTGCCTCTGGCCCTCCCCACCTGGCTTCCTCTGTGCCTGGCTTCCTCCCTGCCCCATGCTCTTAGCCTCCCACTGGGGGACGCAACCCCTGAGATGCCTCCCAAGTTGGAATTCAGGCTAAAGAAAGGCTGCTCAGCAGCCCTGCCCTAAGCTAGCACGCTGGAGAGATGACCTTTAAAATAGGGAACCGAGGCCTGGAAGGTTCCTATTGGAAATGGGAACAGAACTGTCATTTAGTAGTGGCCTTTGACCACTCTGTTTTTGAAAAATGTACAAACGGACTCTTTCTTGGCACCCTGTAGCTGAAGAAAGCCCTTGAAGAAGCCTGCTCTAAATCTGGCGAAATGTCCCGCCATAACAGGGAGCTACGAACAAAAGTGGTGGACCTGGAGGCTGCCCTGGCAAGTCAGAAGGAGAAAGTGAAAAGACAGAAAGTGTTGATTACACAGTACTTCAACTCCAAGAATAACAATGCTCGAAATTCAGAGCGAATAAAGGTGAGGCAGGGTGTGTTTGCCATTTCTGGAGGAAAAATGTGTCACACACACTGTCTATACCATTTGGAAGTCTGTCCCCTTCTCCACATTAATAGCAAACCGATTGTTGGAATGGAGGTTTTGAGGTCGGTGTACCTTGTGGTCCACAGTACAATATTCCAAGTTGCAGTATGTTTCCACTGCAGCTGAGCAAGGGTAACCTCTCGTTAGAAGTGTATAACACTCAGTTAATAGCTCTGCCATGGAGTTGCCTGGCCCCCTTCATGCCAACCTGAAGGAAAGCTAGCAAGCCAGAAGGGGTCAATTAGTCCATGAGCAAGACTGCCCTAGCTTTTTTTAGTTCTATGCCTTTTTTAAAAGGCACTGTGTGTGGATTTTCTCATCAATTGAAGCAAGTCAAAGGAGCCCAATCACTGCTTATTTTAAAGATAAAGGAATGAGCCCCAGGATGTGGATTCATAGTCTTCTTAGGAGAGACCCCCATTGTTTCCTGCTTTGCTCACAGAATGCTGCTTATCTGGAATAATTAGGATGGAGTGGTAAAGAGGGAGAGTTGAAGCAAGGAACATGCTGAGGGATGTCAGTGCTGGCCCTGGCTAGCGCTTGGAGTTCAGGGCCTTTTGCTGGTTTGGCTTTGTAGCACACAGGTGGGAGAAGCCTGACAACTATAAGTTTGCTGACTGGACAGCTACTCATGGCATAAAAGCTTTTGACAGTTATTTAGGAGCTTACTCATCACCCTGCCTTTCCCCAACCACTTACTTACAGTACATAAAAGCTATTCTACTTTTAATGATGTCTTACGTGGGCAAGCAGTATCTAAATAATAATAATCACCACACTGCTGTAGCTCAGTGATTAGAATGTTGTAGTGGAACTTGGGAGGTCCAGATTCTGGTCCCTGCTCAGCCATGAAGCTCACTGAGTGACTCACTCTTAGCCTAACCAAACTGATGGAGGTTGTTGGGAGGATCAAACGGACAGGAAGAGGACTGTGTAAGAGGGAGAAAAGATGGGATGCCAGTGTAATAGTGTTATCTGCCAAAGCTTATGGTGTAAAGACCCTGTTTACTATTCCACAGCCCTGTGGCACCTTTCCACAACTATCTAGCACATCTGTTTATTTACAACATGTATATACCACTCACCCACACAAATTTCAGAGGGCTGCTCAAAAACAAAAAGGCAAAAATATTGAGGCAAGGAAGGAAGGAAGATGCACAATGACTTTTCTTGACCCCCACCCCCACCCCAATTCTCCTGCCCCTGCATCTTTTATGATCAGCTGGTTGTCTCCCTACTTCCCTTGGTTTGGGAAGTGAAAACTGGTCAGAAGAGAGTAGGCACCCAACTGAATGTATGAATTTTGGCACAGAACAATATGTCTGTTTACTTTCACATGACTTTGTGAAATATATTTTCAGGAGATTGAATCAGAGTTAAGGCAAATGGAAGAACTGAAGGAACAGTACCAGAAGAAAAACTATGAGCAGGTAGTCTCCCTTTCTCTCTTGCACTAGCAGTTAAGAGTAGATTAAAATGTTTCCATGTGGTCATGGAATCCAACTGTTCTCATGCCTAGGCCCTTAGTATCAAAGAATTTGTCACTGAATTAACAAGCCTGCAAAGTGAGATGCAGCAACTGGCCAAAAATCAACAAGCCATGGCAACAGAGAACAGGAATCTGGTGAGCCAGCTGGAAGGAGAGCGGAAGCGGCGGAAACAGCTTGAGGAAGAGTGCCAGGTAATAGAGCCCCTAAATCTGATGAGCTGAAGCTTAGGGCTGCTGACCATCTTTGCATTTTATCTGTCAGCATGGCTGTGCAGGTCTCCCCCAGTCACCCTCTTTCCTTGCCATTTTGTTTGGTGTAATGTAAGAAACCATAACAGAGAGAGCCACAGAAGTGAACTGGAATTACCGAGCTGGGCACAAGCCAATTTCTGTTGTTCTTAATCAAGTGCTGCCAGGGAGCTCTGGTTGTTGGATGGTATAGAAGTGCAATGAATGAACAATGCAGGAACTGTTTGTCGAATAAGAGTGGGTAAGTTTATTTTGATGGCACAGCAGGTTAAACTGTTGAATCACTGGGCTGTTGATCGGAAGGTTGACAGTTCAAATCTGTGCAATGGGTTGAGCGCCGCTGCTTTGACCCAGCTTCTGCCTGCCCAGCAGTTCAAAAGCATGCAAATGTGAGTAGATAAATAGGTACCACTTTTGTTGGAAAGGTAACAGCGTTCTGTGCGCCTCAGCATTTAGTCATGATGGTCACATGGTCACGGAAGCATCTTTGGATGATGCTGGCTCTTCGGCTTACAAACGGCCAGTCCCGGAGTTGGACACATCTAGCATGCAAGCGCAGGGGAACCTTTACCTACTGTCCTGTACATTTAGGCTTTAGAAGACACAGTCAAGCACTTGAAGAAATGCAAAGAGGATACTGAGCAAAAACTGAAAGAAGCCAGTAAAGAGTCAGAACAGGTCAGTACAGAAGCAGAGGAGAAAGTGGGCTACAAGTTTGTTTGGTTGGTTGTTACGTGACTTTGAACTGCATAGTTTGGCAAACCTTTTTTTCCCTATGCATATGATGAAAAGTGGCTTGACCTGTCTTAATTCTCACTTGCTAGACACTTTAACAATAAAGCAGTAATTTACCTTAGTAAATTAAGGTAGTGATTCATAGACTGACATTACACAGGATCAGTTAAGGTGCATAACTTTGTCAGTTTAATGTTGTATGTTGATACACACACATTCTAATATTTGCAAGTAGAAATCTCTGCCCTGTTTCATGCTCCCCTCCCCTCCCCTCCCCTCCCACACTTCTGTTTAATGATTGCACCTTCAAAAGCAAACCGAAATTTGTAGTATTGCTGATGACACTGGGAAATAGACTTAAGTGGTGGTGGGCGGGCAGATAAAAATAGAAAGACTCCCAAACGACTGGACATGGAGAGAACAATATTTGAGTATGGTGTGCGTCTTATCCTTAACACACAATGTGATCCAATCACATTCAGAAAATGGATATAGCTAGGATGTGGAACTCATTTCGGTCATGTACAGAGTTGATGACACAAGGCAGGCAACCTGTTTATTACATCATGATGACCAGTTGGAAGCCCCTTCTCATACCTACTGACCAAGAGATACTTGTTGGCTTTATTCCCTTCTCACTCCCTTTTCTTTAAAATCAATTGGTTGTGCTTAGAATTAATGGTATATCTTATTTTAGTAATCCTTGAAGTAACAGTATAGCAACTTCATGATGAAGGCCTGCTCAGTCTATGTGAAAGCTGTATCTAAGGATCTTAAAGAATTAAGGACTTTTCGACCATCCAAAGGTTGTTTTTCAAATGTTCTGGATCTTGAAAATGGCATTTGACTGACCTCCCATGCCTTCAGAGGCAACCAGTAAACAGTACTTTGATTCTGCTCTCTCCTCCCTCACCTCAGATAACTGCTAACCTGGAAGAAGCTCACCACTGGTTCAAGTCAAAGTTTGATAGCTTGCAGCGTGAGCTGGCCAAAAACAGACAACAGAAGAATCCTGGGGCGGAGGAGGAGGAGGAGGTGAGGAAAATACCTTACACAAAAAGCGTTGTCATAACACAGTATCACTAGTGGCCTGGCCTCTTGTGTATGCTGCTGTTGAGAACTTGACTAATTCCAAAGGAAATATGGCAGATGCAGATTTGGGTCACACATTAAGAGACCGCCATGGGTGAATTTCCCTGCAGGGCTTCTCACTGAATTCTCATGGAATGCATTTTGAAAGCTCAAGCGGCAGCAAGAAGATGCCACAGCTTGTTGTTAGATGTAAAACCACTGTGGGTGGAGTGTTGGGCCTGGCTAACAGGGCACCTGCCACTCCAGCGGGTTCCGGGTGACTTGCTGATCCCCCATGATGCAACCTCACCAGCTCTCGTGTATAACAAGGTGAAGAATCCCCCCCCCACCCCCATGGCTTGAATTTTAAAAATGCAACATGTCAAGCACTGAAATTCAACTGTTACATGCAAAACAAGTCACTCTGAGTGCCTGTTAAAATGCAGTGCTGTTAAGATGGCTGTGGGCAGAAAAGATTTAGGTCTTGGGGTCAGCCTTTAAGGCAGACTGAAGAATTCCTGACAGGTCGGTTTGCTGTCTTTTCACTGACAGCTAACCTAGAAGAGCCTCCTGAGGGGAAACAATCCAACAGATGCAGCACACCCAGGATAGAAATGAGGTTGCACCCTGTTGATGTTCTGCTTTTCCCATAACTTTCTAATGGCACACAGTTTCCATGAACTCAGTGCCTTCAATAGAAGAATTCAAAGTTTTACATCCCTTCTTTTTCATTTATCAGCTGCTAGCAATTTTTCATTACACAAAGCCTTCCTCTTCCACAGAGGATTTGTTTGAGAGCCTGGTAGTAATGCCACCTCAGCTGTGAGCTTAAAGACTTGCCTAAAGTTTCTCAGCCTTGTATCTTCAGTAGGAGAATAATAAGACTGACAACTTCTGGGATGGTGGTTGTAAGGATTACAGAGGTACTGTTTGTGGTGCACAGGGGGAAGACAGAAGGAAGCTTAGAAGATTTCAGATTGTATACAATTTCTTCAGTGTTAGTGGTTTGTATTAGGTTTAACCTTTCAAGGCAGATGCCACAGGAGCAAGAGAATTGTGAGGGCACTGGGTTGTACGTAACAAGCATAAGTGACTACAGCTCTCGTCTCCTTACTCCCAAAAATGGGCTGCATCTGAAGGCTGGGGAATCTTCAAAAACAGCAAGGGATGTGGTTGCAAGGAGCTGTCACTAAGGGGGAAGAGTTGGCCAAAATGGCAGACAAGACTGTTGTTACCAGCTGAAGTGTCTTCCCTTCATGCCCTTTAGATGCACCCTGTTGCTTTCTTAACCATTTATTGTTTAAAAAAAGTTGTATTTTAAGAATGAAGGTCAAACTGCTACAAAGGAATGGTTTCAAACAAAACAAGAGAAAAATAAACTTAGATGCCACCACTGTAGGTGTTTTTTTAAGTTGCTACCTTACCTTAGCATTTTTTGCTGGGCTTCTTTATTACCTTTTCTGTATGGCACAAACAAATGTCCCACTTACTAGATTTGTGGATGACCAAAATATGGGAATGGGTTACAGATGTGGCAGATAAATATAGACATTGGGCAAGATCAAATAGCCTGAGCAACAGTAAATATTCCTTTGTTCTGATGTGTCTTCTCTGCATACTTGCTCCTCACTAAATATCCTGTCTGTCAGCAGGAAAGGCCAGTGAAGCTCCCTAGTCAGGTATGCCTGAAGCGCTGGGAAACCAAGAACCATCTAAAGTTCATCTCCCGAAAATATCTAAATGAGCTGAATAAGCGATGAGCTGCTTGAACAGGTAGATCCAGGCTGGGAGAGAGGACCCCACACCTGTGAACACCACCACCTGGGGCCAGGATCTCCATGATGTGCAGCCGGAGGTATTGCTACCAAAGAGAAGCTCAAGGATGGCCTCCTCAAATTGTGAGCACCCCACATGCTTACTGCTGTTAGTGGAGCTGGTACTGTGTGAACTTGGTGTGTTCTATATGAATGAAGGAAATCCTTTAAATATAAATATGCGCACGCACAAGCTGACTGGGCAACTGCTAAATCTTTATTTAGTACAAGGCTCCACTGCTTACTTAAAAATACCTCCAAGGAACTTTTCAGGCAGGTCAATGACAATTTTATTAGTAATGCAAGTGTGCCCAAGTGCAAAATGCAACTTTCTGAGCAGAAGTCCTTAAGACTCCTGTGGCTGTATGCCTGCACACTGGATGAAGCTTACACATCCCGGGGGCGGGGGTAGCTCCAGCCATCTGCTTTGTTGTGTTCTGGATGTGACAATCCAAAGAAGGCTTTCTTTGCAATTCAGAGGGGGCAAAAAAACCTTGGGGACTTTTAGAAGTGGCAGTACCGAATCCTATAAATAAAGGAATGCAAGGTTCTATTCCTGGTTTCCAAAATGGCTACTTTGTACAGTGGGCTGGCATATTGGGATTTCATAATTTTATAACCTCCTGTTATAAAATTGCAATGGCAGGTGAAGTGTCTGCTGAACACAACTTCAAGCCAGACCCATTATACTGATGACTCAGTCATCTAGAATGAGAAATTTTGTACTGTGGACTTTGTTCGAGTTGTTGCCTTCCAGATGTGCAGCCAGCACCCCAAGCACCATTTTCTGGGAATGATGGGAACCGTAGTCCAACACACTGAGGGGGCTCTGGTTTACAAAAGATTGGTCGTGTTTCTCCTGCTTCCTCCAGCTCATTATTTATGCAGGTGCTTAATTGTTCATGATCAGGTATAGAAGTAATCAAAGCCAAAAAACAAACCATTATCATCGTTGGTGTTTTAATACTCTCTGTAGAGAAAATAATAAAAAGAATACTGACTTCTAGAATAATTTCAATTGGTATGGCTGCTCACACATACATACAGCTAGTTAACTCTTGCTGGGGCTTCCAAAAGAACATCTTAGTGGACTGCTCCATGAGTACCAAAAGAACCAGACTCACCTGCTGCATTTCGCCATAGGTTTTGGGTGAGAGAGTGTGGTGTACTTCTGACCTTTGGCTGAGACTACTTTAGCGTGCTATCTAACGCTACATGTGTGTGTATTAAACTAAAAACTAAAATATATTTATTTTGTACAGCAGTTGTTTTTGTCTTTTTTCTGTTCTAATTATTCTTCTACTTGAGCCATAAGGTATGATGGACTCACTTGTAATTTGTCATTGTCAAATGCATAAAATAAGGCAAATTAGAAATAACCTTTCAGTGAGTTTTTAAACAGACTGCTCCCTTCATAGCACCAAACACTGTACGTGAAGACTCTGTGACATAAGTCAAGGTTGTAAGCCAACATACACTTAATAAGGCATAAGATGGCCTTGCTGTGTTTTCACTTTACAGAAGGCATTATTTTGGTGGTGCCCAGATTATGGAATGCACTCCTTGGAGAGGTGCGCCAAGTTTATATTCTTTTTGGTGCCAGGTTAAAATCTTTTTATTTAATTGCTATTTTAAAAACTAATATTTTATCATTAACAGTCGCTTTTTGTTTTTATATAATATTTTATGGAATTTGTTATTGTTTTTAATTGTATGTGTTATGAGCTGTCCCGAGATGCCGAGGCATGTGGTGACAGCATATAAAAGTTTTAAATAAATAAATTTGGAATTATTTTGGGTCTGAACATGCAGTTACAGTGCATGTTTTCTCCTGGCAGGCAAGGGTACATGGATAGAATATGGCTAAGAAATCTTCTTTCACCCACCTCCAATTCAAGGCTTCAGGAAAAAAAAGGAAAATGTTTCAAGCTGGCAAGTTACCGTGGACAAAACAGAAGAAATTGCTTATTAATAAGCCAGTGTGTAGTAATGGCAGGACACCATCCCCACTCCCATTTATATGCTAGACCAACAGAGGAATACAGACGGTGCAGATTGGCCTGTATAATGTTCCACCTTCCTATCAATAACTTCCTATCAATAACCAGCTGACACTGTTAAAATGCAAACTTGGCCTCAGTGCTAGATTCTTTGAAGCTCTCTCACTACAGCTTTCACATTATCCTAAGTAAATTTTAATGTTCAGGTATGCTTGAATAGCTTTGAGAGTTCCTGGCTCCCATTAAGTGTGGCTTTATCAGGTTTAAATTTTGAGAACTTAGAAAATTACTACAAACTGCAAACCACCTGTCATCAGATCTGCTCTAACCATAGCAGGAATATTCCTTAGTTGAACATTGTTTACTGCTTCATATTCAACAATTCAGTGAGAAGACATTTCTGACGACTGAAGACAGAAATCATAAGTTGCCATTAAAAGGCCTCAGCACTGACATTTCTTAAGTCTCTCTCGTAGGTCTCTGGCCTGCTGCAGCCAAGCAGCAGCTGCACATTACCCAGTTTACTCTCCCTTTGAAGAAACAATGAAAGCAATCCCTTCTTTGGAAACTGCTCTGCATATCTGTTTTGGGTGGTATTTCTTGTCACACAATTCCATGCATGTACAACAGTGTCCGAGCCATTCTGATATTTCCACTGCTCTGATAGATGAGTGACAAATTGAAGGCAATGTCCCTTCGCAAGTCTGTCTGGTCCGCTTCTATTCCCTGATTTGGGGAAGAAAAATAATTTGCTTCAGCAATTCCAAGAGTAATACCATGCTCAACAAATAATAAAGCCAATAGTTTTATATTTGACTTTCTTGCTTGTAAAAGATTGGCTCTGATGATGGCTTTCAGAATGAAAACTTTGGACAGAAAAGTTTCCCCTGCCACCCACAGCAGTGCAACTTGATACTACGTTTTCTCATTGGGTTTTCAGGGTCTATTTCCTCCAAAATGGAATCCTGATGTCATAATTAAAAGATGTACCTTTTCTAGATGGGAAAATTCTAAAAATGTCTATTATGTTTCATTTAGAAACTAGTAAACAGAGGATCACCCCAGGATTCGTTCAATGCAAAGTTTTGCGTAAATACAGCCATGGTGATTATTTTCTTAAAGCTCAGTGACAAACTGGCCATATAATACTAGAGGGAGAAGCCAGGAAGGACGAAATAAATTCTGAATGTGCAAACTTCATTTAGACGCTGTTGAAGAAGTAACAGCTTGCAAAGGTAAGAGAAGCAATTTTACACGGACAGCTGCTTCCCATCATTCCTGTAGCACCAGGAGAGGACCAGTTGTTGGACTGTTCCAGTTATGAAACATGCAAACTGAAAGCTCAGCAGCAACAATGTCTGTAAGCTGTAATACCTAGCTCCTCATTTAGTAGTATTTACTCTGCACGACTATGATTTTCTCTGAAATATATTTTATTTTAGAAAATCTATCACTTTTCAATAATGCCCCAAAGCATTTTACAAGCTAGAACATACAACAAACTTGCATCTGGGCCATATTGCTAAATTTGGGGCACATGTTTTCTTTAAAGTTGCTGCCTGCCTGGCTGGCTCTTGTGGGGTCAGTTACGGGAACTGGCTTTAAGACTTTATAGTGTTTATCGCACATATATTTCCTAAAATACTTTATAATCTGTGTTTTTACATTGGTATACTGTTTTTCAGCAAGGGGCTTCTGAAGCAGCTACCAACTGTAAACTGCAGTTTGGATCTTTTTGTAATGTTACATGTTAAATGTCATGAGTAGGGCAGCTTTGGACGACTATTTCAGAATGTCGGGGTACAAAATGCATATTCTGTGCATGACCGCTTGAGTGCCTAGCATAGGGAAGAGGAGTAACATTTGTGTGTGGTATTAAATATCAGTGGGGATTTTGGCACCTTGCAAATGTGGTTTAAGTGCTTGTGTTTTCACTGTAAGGAAATACTGCTGAAACCACACAATACCTCTAGGACCAGTGGGGGAAGCTCCAGTGCCTTCTGATAGTAGTGAATTGCCAGATGTACCAATCCCAGTTGATGAAGGCCACGGCCCAAGTTGTAGAAAGATTCTTGACAAGAACCACGGAGACTCAGATACCGTTGGAGGAATGAGAAGCCCTATGTACAAAGGGGATAAAGAAGCTCTCATAAAAATCAAAAATTACAAGTCACTGAAAAGCTGAAGGTGACACTGTCAAACTTACATACTTTCCCCAAGGGCAGTGGTGGCGAACCAATCGCACGCGTGCTGCAGCGGGCACACAGCCCTCTCTGTCGGCACACAAGCCAAGTTCCCCCAGCAGCCGAGCATCGGATAACAGCGCACACAGGGGCCAAGCGCATACTCAGAAAGGAGTAGCGGCACCAGGTGATGATGTCACAAGCAGAGACTCAGCTGCGACTCGTCTGAGCTTTTGCATGGCCAGTCAGTGTTCTGCCAAGGATATTGCTTGAACAGGCTGCAAGCTTTCATACATTCGTTTTTATTAACACTTGATTTTAGCTTTGAGTTTTCTTATGAAAAATTGAAATTTAATATCTAAGATTTAGCAAAGAGATGTTCTAATTAAGAGACTGATATGCTGTCCCCTTGGCATATGTGAATCTGCAGCACCATATTTAGTTGTTTGTGAAGAATTTATGAAAACTAAAACCTCAGTATTCAGGTTTGATTGCAGTGCTGGCACTTTGCGATAAGTGGGCTTTCGGTTGCAGTATGGGCACTCGGTCTCTAAAAGGTTCACCATCAGTGACCTAGGGCATCCAGTGAGGTAGCTTGTATCAGCTCTGAACAACAACAACAGCAGAATGAAATTGAAAATCTGCAATTCGTAGTACAGGGATTTAGCTACTGGTCCATTTCCACAGTAGACTGCAGTGATGGTGGGAGGATTCCAAGGGGCAGCCCCTCCAGCCAACCAGCTCATGTGCTTATCTATCCAGGACTAAGCTATTTCTGGGCACCATTGTGCCCATTCTCAAAACTAGGACCTACTCAGATCCTGAGCCATAGGGTGGGTGGGACCTGGTGAAGCAAAGCGTAAAGATGTAGAAATGGCCAAGGCCTTTTGATGAAAAGAGCCCGCCTACGGCCATCTACCTGCAGCATGTAGAACAGACTACTTTAACCCTTTTGTTTCCTCATTAAAACTTTTGCCAAAGATACATAGCTGCAGCTTCAGCTGGTCCTCTTTCCCTCCCCTCCATAATTTCATTTGCAGCTGCTGTCCAAATTTATTTGTGAAATTAAAGCAAAAGAACAGGGAAGAGAGTCATCTTCTGTTTCTTTTAACATAACAGAATATGGTAATGACTGATAGGCTATTTAAAATCATCAAAATAATTTCCTGTTGAAGCTTAGTCAACAGCCCTCTATCTTTTCACATACATTTCCCTCTAAATCTCAGCATATCATGTAACAAAAGGAGGCTAATAGGCACTATCGCTTCCCTCGCCACTGCCGTGCTGTGAATAGTGCTCATTCTTCAAGGAGAATTAGAGAAGTGCACCCAAAATGGAACTTAAGGCTGCAATTTTGGCAGGCTGGTTATGTCTGAATGTAAAGATAAATGGAAGAAACAAAATTGGATAAAGCCACAGCAATTATGAAAAAGGAAAAAAAAACATGTTATGTGTCAAAGTGACAAGCAGAAGACTAGGCGTGCATGTCAGTTCTTTGCTCCCGCCAGCAAGTTACTTTTTTCTTTGAGCTGTAGTAGCCAGAGTTAATGCTGCATGGGGTAACTGTACGTCAGTATTTATTTCATTGGCTAAATGCTTCTACTTACAGCAGGCTAAAAAATTCTAAACAGATAAATTGTATCCTGGTTGAATGAGGAAGTAGTTTTCAGTCCCACTGACTGGAACTGGAGAGACTCAAGAACATACTTGTCTGTCTCCCTTTGAAATCAATCATTGAAAGTGCTTTGCTGAAGCTGGGCTGTGTTGAATTTTTGGGAGAAAAGGCCTGAATTAGATTTAAATCTTAGTCTTCAATGCAAAAGGAGAAATCTAAATAGTACAAAAATGCTGCTGAGATGTTGTTGCTATAGCTGAGAGAAGTGTATATCAAGCCTGAATGTATATACTCAGAAGTCAGTCCCACTAAACTCAGCATGGCTTGTTCCCAAAGAAATGAGGCCAGACTTGCCTGAGTCTTAACGGCATTTAGAGCCTATAAAATTCCCCTGCACATACTTCAAATGGGAAAAAGGCTGTTTTCTTTTTAATTCAAGGCAAGGTAGGATAAAATTTATGCTGAAGATGAAAAAGAAACAGTATGTGTCAGTTCATCACTAACACTTTCAATACCATGATTTCTGTATTAACAAGAGAGCTATGATTGCTAAAGCCAACTTGCAAAAATCCAGGAGAAAAGAGATCCTCTGTCTAATAGGACAAGAAAAGGACATGTACAATTGCTGGTTGAATAACTGTTTAGGACATTTACTTTGTAACGCTCTTGTTAATATCATGTTGGTCCTTTTATAAATGTTAGATACACTGCCCAGGGATCCTTTGAGGATGAAGGGTGGTTTAATAATATGGAGATCAGTAGTCATGTGTGACTAAATACATTAAGCAAACTAATAGACTTATCCCCACATTGTCCACAGTAAGCCAATTATTTAACACAGAGAATAATCATGCTAATTACCTCCTTTGTACATTTTGCATGTATTACAATATGTACATAATAAATATACATGTGAAATACATATTTTTTAAATCACCACTAAAGCCATAACAGCATCATTGCTAGTGACTTCAAAGCATACAAGCAATGCTTCTTGAGATTATTACTGGGAAAAGCTTGCAAAAGCCCAGCCGGTTCCTGCAACTCAAAAAGCATAAATGCTAAATGCTGGGTGAGAACATGTGGGGGGGGGGGGTTAACTCACCTGTACTATAAGTGCGTGCCTTTTTAACACATACTTCTGAGATGCCATGTGGATGAAAGTCAATCCTATGCAAAGACTGTAGAGGGGTTCATCCGGGTTACTACGAAAAGCTTGTACGTACTGCCCTAGAGGGAAACAAATCATGAATGGCGTCAGAATGTGATTCATTCTTTAACTAAAAAGAAAGAGACATACCTGGCACAATAAAGAAGAACTGCAGATATTCTGTTATTTATATTTTATACTATATATTGTTGCATTTTTTTGAATTGCCATACCCAACCCAAAGAGCTCCAAATGAGCTTTGGGTGGTATAGGAATAAAATAACTCATGATATATCGCAAGGCTAATTCACCCCACCTCCCACCACCTTCTGTCTTCTAGCAGTGTACAGAGGGAGCCACGTGAGTCTACTGCAATGAACACAGGCTTGTGGCACCTCAGGAGACAAACATGTTTATTGCAGCATGTATTTTTGTGGAGTAGAGTCTACTTCATCAAATGTCCTCCAGCAGGCAATCTGCTTGGATAATGCTCGCTCCCTCTTAGCGGGTGAGGGCTTCACAAGTGGGCCGGCAAGCGCACAGCCTCTTGAAGAGCTTCCCATTTCCTGCATTAGGGCCATTATCTTTTGACACATACAAGCGAGAGAGTGGGAGACACGTAGGACCATCAGAGATTCGCCGCCGGACGCATTTCCAGGGGCTTACCAAGAGCATGCTTGAAACTACCAGACACAAAGGCGTTGTGGCCATTTAAGATACACAGAGCGTGGTTGTCAGGGTTTTTCAGCATTAATCGGAGGCAGAAGCGATGGTGCCGGACATCCTGTGAGTGCATGGTGATTTGGTTGAAGATATTCCAAAGCTGTGGCTTGTTAACATGTTCCATGACCATGATCCTAGGGAAGGAGTGCATGTTCATCAGAGCACCGAACAAAAGGATCGTTGCGTATTTACTGAAGACAAGAGCCTGGTGGCTCCGTGGGTGCGGTAGAAGAGCAGGGCATAAGCCCACCCCTTTCACTGTGCCCCAAAAGAGGTGCCTGCTGCATGTGCTCCCCATGGAAGTTCAGCTTAGAGGGGTGATGAGAAATCCCTCACCAGCACATGTTCATGAGAGGAGAGGAGTGAAGTGCCCTCCAATATACCAATAGCATCACTAGTCCAATAAGCTCTTGTGCACTATAAACCAATTTCCCTTCTTGATTCTATCTTTACTCTCTGGAGTAAACTTGTCCATGTATATTCAAGAAGCATCTTGTATTTCTAGGAAAGTGGGCACAGGAGTACAGTCTAAACCACTGTTTACTGGCTAGGATGCAGCAGGAAACTAGCTTAATAAACCATGATGGAAGCACTGAAGCAGGACATGCAAGAAGGGAGAGGGACGAGGGTAATATACCAATCAGGTGGCAGAGTAGAAGGGAAACAAATGACAAGATGATTGAGAAATAGTTGGGCCACTGCCCCAAAGAAGGCTGAACTTCAAAAACAGCACCTTCCCCCTCCCTGGCTCTCCATACCAGTGCAGAGCTGCTTGTCTTCTGTCCAGCCCAACTAATCCTCAATCCATGTCATTCCGTTCCTCTCCTGTGCTGCCTTGCAGTGCAGCCATTGCAAAATGCAAACGCATGTTTGAACTTGCAGAATAAATTGTGCAGAGCAAACATATGCAGTTTCATCTGACTGCAGAATTTGGATTTCTTTGGCAAATTATGTCATTGGTCCAGAGCAGGCAGAGCAGTGACTCAAATCAACTATGATTAAAATATGTCATGACAATCTAAATATTGATACAAGGGGTGGGGGGGGCGGTGGAACCATGAAGAAGCATGCCACCAAGTGTACTAGCTGTGAGACAGGAAGTTTCTAGTGGAATTTTTGCCTCTACTATGAACCACGCGTGACTATCATTCCACCACTCAACATTCACACCCATCTGCAACAAGGCTAAGAATACTGATCAGACAGGCAGCTGTCACATGGACCACTAGCCCTTTTGAACATCCCAGAAGAGCTGTATCAATGCTTATTGTGCTGCACAAGAAACCACCAAAAAAGACAGCTCTGATATAGCAAACAGCAAGTCAACTGCCTTATGCCTGGCCTCTTTGCTAGCTATACTTGCAATTTTGCATGTTGTTATTTTTGAATGCCAATGCTTTATGCTTACAGCTTCTCAAGATGCCACATCTCTCTGCATCCCAAAAGGGAGTGGTGGGGAAGGGAGCAGGAGAACCTGCTCGTGAGAGAAACAATAGCCTTTGTGAATGGCTTACCTGATGTAATTGTAAGCTTTCCTAAAGTTTTTGTCCAAAATTGCAGCAGAGAGACCAAAGTACTCCAGCTCTTTGCGCTTCTGCCTGTCATCATAAAATGAATAGTATTCCAGTGAGGAGTCCACAAGCAGTTCAGCTTCTTTGTACCGGGAAAGGTCACACAAAGCATAGATGGCCTTCAGCAGGAGGTTCCACCAGTCCTCTTTCGTCAGTACACTGGTAAGCACCACAAATATTGCTAGAATGGAACCATAAAACCATAGCTTTATTTATTATAGGTGGTTACAGCCTATCTCAGAATGGAACAATTCTCAACAACAGATCCAAAAGTCAAGCAAAGTTATCCATGGAACTTCATGGATCCACAAAACTTCCAGACAAAAGTGAGTCATCATACTGTACACAGAATCATCATATAGGGTGTAATAACCCAATCCTTAACCTCAGGGGTGTGTTCCCCTCCCTGTAGCCCCACACTACAAAGGAGGATGCAGGCAATCACACGAGTGGTTCTCAGGAAAAGTCCATTTTTTCCATCCCTGGAGCACAGACACACACCACACTCACATTACCTTTTGCATCACAGTTTGTTGTTTCCTGGTCATCGCTACCAGAGATTTTATCCCGTGACACTTTCATAAGATAGAGATGCCTTTCTCCAGACTTGGAACTGGATATTAAGCACACCTGAGCACGGTTCATGGCAACCTGGAAGACAGTCAAAAATGAGTCCAATGCTGTAGATTCTGAGCTCATCTGAAGCGGGGAACATTCCATGCTACAATGGTGACTCACAAAGAAGTTAAATTTCTGAATATCAATTTATGATTTCATTCAGTACAAGTGAGCAATCCAGATCAAAAGTGCCAGTGAATATGGCTTGGGTACAATAAATAAAGCTGGACTAATCAATCAGAAATCACTGGCCAAGTTGACCAGTATCGATGAGTCTTCATTGCCTGCAGGCTCCTGTAAAGCAAAGTGTTGGTAACTCAACCCAGCCAAGGTGTTCATGCCTGGAAGGGAGCTGTTACCAGACAGGACACATGCTCTTAGCACGGGACATTTATGCGCCCTTAAGCAGGGTGCTAAGTGACAAAGGAGGTACAGAAGGAGCTTACCTTTAAGAGCATGGCTAACATGGTAAGTAGAGAATCTACATAACCATACATGTTGCCCTGAGAGTACAACAATGTGGAACGATGAAGCAGCAATTTCAATTCCTGAATGTGGAAAGGAGAAACGTGGATCACACAAAGCCTCCTCTTACATTTAGGGGCACTTCACAAACGTCAATTGATAACCAATGAAGAAATCCCACAAATGACCCCACGAGGCTTTGGCAGGTCAGGAGAGACATTCCCTTGGCCCAAAGCTTGTGAATGTAAATTGCAACCATTCATATTACCAGAATGCTCAGGAAAGCAGTGCAGCAACTTTGAAATAATCAAAGCACTTACAAAAAGAACAGTGTCAACAGCAATATGCTTACTGTCTGATGACTATTAGGAATACAGAACAAAATGGCAGCTATTTTACCCTGCTCCTAATATATAAGATATATAATATCACATTCCCAATGAGATAGAGATAGATAGAAAAGGGAAGATGGTATTTGTGGGGCAGGGGTTTAAGTGAGCCCCTGACTTTTGGGGGCCTGGGTTCTGCGCCTGTCCTCCGCCACATGCAACTTTCAACCAGGTGTCACTAAGGGAATTGTGGCCTTGACAGAAGAAGGCTTCCCCATGTCTGTGCTCACCTGCTCCTACTCTGAAAATCCTGTGTTGGTACAGGCCTTGCACTGACAATCACCACTCAAGACACTCAGCTTGGACGCCGACACTCTGTTCCCCACAAGACGCCAGACTCTCGATCTCCCCTTACGACTCCCTCTTCCAGATCACTCCCCGCTCCCCTCCAGCCAGGTCCCAGGACGCAACCCAGACAGCAGAGACATGCTTACTTGCTGAGCCGCATTCGCGTCCTGGGCCAGAGTGTCGGGGTCGTACATGGGCTCGAGGGCTTCCAGGGCTTTCTCAGGCCGGCCCAATTGCTGCTGAAGGGTGGAAAGGGAGATCCTGGCATCCAGGTGCAAAGGGGCAAGGTCGACAACTTTGGCATAGCTCTCTGCAGCACGCTCTATGTAGCCCAGTGCTTTTAAGCATTCTGGAAAGAGAAGCAAGGAAGGAGTGTCTGCAGCTCTCAGCTGGATTTTAAAATTTTGATTTATACACTACGGTGATCCACACAATAGTAGAGTTGCAACCCCAGCCTGGTTTTATTTCTACTCCTGTTGCATTTTTCAACTGTGCTTTTATTAAGTCTTATTTTAATTACTCTCTTTAGGACAGGGTCCGCAGCTTGGGAGTGCTCCTTGACCCAGAGCTATCGTTGGAAAGTCAAGTGAAAGCGGTGGCGAGGAGCGCTTTCCTTCAGCTTCGGCTGATCCATCAGCTGCGTCCCTACCTGGAGAACGACTGCCTGGCAACAGTGACACATGCATTGGTCACTTCCCGATTAGACTTCTGCAACGCGCTCTATGTGGGGCTGCCCTTGAAGACGGTCCGATGCAAAATAGAGCTGCCAGGCTGCTGACTGGGACTGGGCGTTCTCATATAACCTCAGTCCTCCGTCAGCTCCACTGGCTCCCCATTGAAGTCTGGGCCCAATTCAAAGTGCTGGTTATCACCTACAAAGCCCTGAACGGCTTAGGCCCTGGTTACCTAAAGGAGCGCCTGCGTCCATGTATGCCCTTCCGCCCCCTGAGATCTGCAGCAGAGGCCCTTCTCCGGGAACCCTCCGTAAAGGATATTAGGAGGGTGAGTACTCGGAGGAAGGCTTTCTCTGCAGTGGCACCCAACCTATGGAATGCGCTCCCCAGAGAGGTCCACCTGGCGCCATCATTTTTTGCTTTTCGGCGCCAAGCCAAGACCATTTTATTTAAATGCTATTTTAACTGTTAATGGTTTATTTGCTGATTTTAAATTGACCAGGCTGTGTCCACTATTTTATTTTATGTATTTTAATTATTTGATGATTTTTTGGGTTTTTTTAATATTTTGTATTTTATGCGGCATTTTATGATTGTAAGCCGCCGCGAGGCTCATGCGATGGGGCGGCATATAAGTTGTTTAAACAAACAAACAAACAAATAAATAAATAAATTTGGTTTAATTATTTTTAGCTACTTCAAGCACCATTTTTTTTAAATGTAAAAGTGCTATATAAGTTAAACCACGGTTAATCAACCTTCTGCAAGCACAGGCAACTCTCCTGCTCTTCCTAAGAAGCATCATCTAAGTTAACAGCATCATCTCCCTTCCGATTTTTTTACTATTGCTGCTATTAGTATTATTTTCATTTCATTCCTAAACTGCCAAAACCCCCAGACCTTTCCAAGCTATTTACAACAATTCATAAAACAAATAATACAATAGAACAGCATAGTTTAAAAAGAATGTAAACAGCTAAAATGATGTACGCTGTACAGTACAGCTGTAAAGCACCTGGGATGGGCAATCCCCTCAAGCCAGGAAATACTCCTGGATGCCTCTCAATACCCCAGCATGGAGGGCTGTCTGAAGTTGGCATGAAAAGAACAACAAGGTTGGCACCAGGGGGGCTCACTCCACAGGCAGGGGGTCAACACTGAGAAGGCCCCTCTCCCTTGTTGCTGCTTTCCGAGTTTCCTTCAGGGCTGGCACTCAGAGGAAGTGCCTGGATGTAGACTGCAGTGTCCCAGTAGACTGTGACCAGGAAAAGCTCTCAGTCAAGTGCTTCAGTTCTAAGCTGTGTACGGCATGTACATGACGTAATGTGCTTTTGCTAACAACTGTTTCTGGGGTCCTTCTTGAGTGACTGCTACGAGGAACGGTTAGGGTGATGTTCACAAGAAAGAAAACATGGTGGTGGCACCAGAGCCATGGAACCCCTGTCCCATAGGCCTACATCTTTCCCCTTCAGAATCGATATTTAGGAAGGCTGTGAACGTTCCCTCTTCACTGTTACCTTTAAAAGAGGCCATAAACTGCCTGTGAAGTAAGCTCCATTGAGTGCAATGGGACATAGTCTCAGTTGTGTACAGGACTACAGCATCAAATTACTGAATGCAACATATCCTACTGGGCCAGAAAAGGGTACCACTCATTTGAACAGAGCAATTACCTGCATGACGGAGCCAAACAACTGCTAAGTTGTATCTTTCTGAACACACCAGGGAGCTCAGGAGTGGAAGTGCAGAATTGTACTCTCCAACATCAAGGAATGCTTCAGCAACATCAAGGTACAAATCCCCCATATCCTCTGGGTTTTGCTCCACTAATGTGGTCAACAGAAACTTGACAAGCAATAAGAAAAATCATGCACAAAGAAATGACACTAAAACTCCTATGCTAAACATACCCAAAACCTGTGAACAGACATTCTGGCACATTTTAAGATGAGAACTTTGTATATGCCAATGAATATATCTCTCTGAAAAGGTTAAAGAAAATTAAAGAATCTAAACTGTAAATACAAGAAAAATCACATCCCAGTTGATTCCCCTAATACAAAATGTAAACTATAATGATAAGTACAGTGTGAAAATTATGTTTACTGTGCTCTTGCTCCCAGATGCCCTGTCAAGGAGTTTGGAGGACAAGAGAGTGAGAGATCTTTATTTGCTTACCATTGCCTGAATTTCCAACTCAAATACTTTGGCCACCTAATGAGAAGGAAGGACTCCTTGGAGAAGAGCCTAATGCTGGGAACAATAGATGGCAAAAGAAGAAGGGGACGGCAGAGAATGAGGTGGTTAGATGGAGTCACTGAAGCAGTTGGTGTGAGCTTGAGTGGACTCCGGGGGATGGTGGAGGACAGAAAGGCCTGGAGGAATGTTGTTCATGGGGTTGCGAAGGGTCAGACACGACTTCGTAACTAACAACAACAAATACTTTGCCTGCTAGTTTTGCATACAAATTTTCTTGTGAAAGAAATATTAAATGGACTTCTGTAGGGGCTACATCATGCTGGATTGGACCTGCTGAATGGGGGGCTCTGAATACATCACATGGGCAAAGGGTGCAGTATGTGAGATGCTGAGAGCCTCCTTAAGCCATCCGCTACTTCAAGACCATCAGGATGCACCTGTGTGTTTGTACAAGCTCAAGGGAAAAGGTTGGCAGGTGGCCCTCTGGTGCACGTGGTGCATGGGGACTCACGTCCCCCACTCTGCTATCTATTGTTATTGCTCATGGCCAGGATCAAAAGAAACCCACCTTGACATTGGTTTCAGGATCCCGCAGGGGCTTCAGCTCTCCTTCTCTTAATCAGCAGCCCACTGAAGTCACACGGCAAACTGCTAATGCAACCGAGCGGCATTGCAAAAGCACTCTGCATTTTGGCAAGAGAACTTTTTTAAAAGGGCAATTTTCCAAGGGCTTATATATGGGCCAGAGCTCCTCTTTGGGTCCCAAGTCCATATTTTTATTGGTCCACAGCCAGCATCATGCTGCTGCCAAAAGCACTTCACCATATCCTTCTTGGCATATTATGGAATTACATGCAAACTTTCCTACACATATTTTTCCTCATTTAGTTTCATGACTTACATTGAGAGGCTCCAGAATATTCAGGTGAACCAAGCAGACCATGAGCTTCACGGTGATGTCTATGGGAACACCATCCGGTATGGAGCAGACAACTTTATCTGAAGCTAGGAAAGGAGGGTGCTGTTAGTTTTTCTAAGCAGCATTACCTCTTTTACTAGTGGGACCGGCAACCAAATGTTGCAGTGCGGCTGTTCAGGGTTTCAGTCAGCTAGCTGACGCTCCGGGATTCTCCAGTCATTGCTCCCTCTGCTTCCATTCCCACCCCCCACCCCCCTTTGCCACCCAACAATCTAGGACTCTTGGGCACGATCATGCCTCACAGGGTTAGGCAGTTGCGTGTGTGTGGCACTGAGGGGAGAAGTATCCCTAAAAGCTGTTTTCGATAAGGTTGTGTTGCAGCTTTGTAACCATCCAGATTCCTCCAAACATGCTGATTCCTCCCCTCCTGTGTGTGGGTGCTGCCATTTTGGCTCTGCAAAGATAGGCAATCACCAGAGAACACTATTCATACATATATTAGTCTCTCTCTATCTATTTGTACACCATTAAACACAAGTTTCCATATCTCTTCATTTCCTATTGCTACCAAAAGTGCTTAAGAGACCTCCTTAGGAAGTATAGAAATAACGCTGTACTAGGTCAGCCTTCTCAAACTTGGTGCCCACCTGCGGGCTTGGACTGCAACTTCCATGAGCTCCTGCCACCATGATGCATGCTCAGGAATGCCTTCCAAAACAACTGAAGGACTCCAGGTTGGGGACGCCTGCCCTGGGGCATATTCCTGCTTTCCCCCAAATCTCTCTTAACAACACACATTTTGCTCTTCAAGTATTCCCTACTCCTTTAATGTGAGGGTGGGAGACCTTTGATCTAAGGCTATGTGTGGACTTTAGCCTGCTTAGTAAATCTGGCCAACATGGTGGGGTGACTCCACCCCCTTTTGGTTCTGGCCACACCCACTGCTGGAAGACAAGTTTTTATCACTGTCATACTAAACTCAACAGGAAAAGGCTCCCAACTCTTCTTTTCTTAGTACAACTTTTTCATCTCTCCATGTAAAAATTAACACCAGGAGAAAAGACATAAAAGTTCTAAGAACATACAAATCAAACAGGTCCCTGATTACTGAGGGAATGAGGGCTGGGAGAACCTCTCAGTCTTAGCTACATGAAGCAAACGGTTGTCTTCCTCCATTAAAATAATCCACAACTTGAAAGGACAGAGAATTTGGACATTTTAAGTAGAAGATCTAGCGTATGGTCTTAAGAAGCAGACACCTATACATCAGAGGGCAGGGAGAGCTGCATTTTCTGAGTAAACATGGGGCTTTAGCAGCACACATTTCCATATTCTCTGATACTTTGGAATCACCATCTCTTTTAGCCCAGGATATTCCTATTTTCATCTTCCTGGCAAGAAAATTGGACTTCAGAGCTTAGCTGCTTTTGAGAAAGTAACTTGCTCACACAGAGAACTGGTTCCAGGTGCCACATCTTGCTGCTCAGTCATTGTTCCTTGGCTCTCCTGCATTTCTGCTGCCTCTTTATAGAGGGTGGGGTTAAGGAGAACAGAAAAAGAGAGTGAGACATTCACTTTAGGAACATTTTTCAGCAAACCCAGAATTGCTACTTTTGCATTTGTTCAGTAGGCTTTTTCAGGCCATTCACAACACTGAAACCATTATTAAATCCAGATCAAATCAAACCAGAATATATGTCTAGTCAGGTAAAATGCCAGAAAAAAGAGCATGATATCCTAATATCACCATCCATTCTATGGTTTTGTTCCTGGAATGTATGACAGAGACTGAGTTTAAACACTCAAGGGCTGAGAATGCATTTAGGGTAGGTGGTTGTTCAACGTGCACGTAGTGTAGGTTGTGGGTGGTTGTTGAGGCGTTGATTATTCTGATGTCTGAATCCAGTTAGGCTATAAAGCCATGGCTTGCTAACCACAAACAAGCCATGGTTTCCTACCTGGGATCAGACAACACAAAACCATTTCGGAAAAGCCCACAGTTCAACAATGATCCACACTCAAACTATATTCAAGTGTAGCTTACTGTGTTGTCTGGACCACATCAGAAAGTAGCATCTAATTAAAACACCGATGGGTGGTAGGTGGGACAATAACGGCACAAATCGCTCGGAAGAGCTGATTCACAAACAAAGCAAAGCTCCATTCCTGCAGATGCCACACTTCTATACACTGGCTCTCTTGCAGAAGTTATTAACCTTGACATTAAGCAACACAAATTGCTTTATGTAGCAGAGGTGAATAGCGACCGTAATCATCCTGAGTATTTTAGTTATGTAGATAGTCTCTTATACCCTGGACCAGAATACAAATGCTTTGCACTGTCTCTTAATCTGTTCAAGGGCAAAACTATGCTTAAAAAAAAAAAGAAAAAAATAAGGCAAATGTGAAGAGACACAGTGCCAAGGAGGATTTAATGACATATCTTTAAGGAGCACCAGAAGCCCTGAACACTTCAGAAGATTAGGCACCCTTGACCAAGAAAGCTTAATGCGATGGTATCCAATCACCCTAATACCTTTATTCTCTGCGGAGGACTCTCTTTCTGCTTTTTTCTTCTCAAGTACAATTCCTGAAAAATCTGTAATAACCTAAAAACAGAAACAGTTCTTAAAATAAGAAAATGCAACTGGTAATGATGTAAGAGTGTATTATAATTTTTAAAGCTAAAACTAAAGTAATTTAACTATTCAAGAGAAAGTGCTATTAGAAGATGGTACCAATTCAAAGTGCATGTGGAGAATCACTGCTTGCAAGGTAAACGCACCACATATCAAGTTGCATTTGAGTTGAAGGGATGAATCATGCAATGCCATCACTCCCTCTCCTCTCCACGATTCTAGAAGCCCACCTGGCTCTTAAACGACAGGGTCAATATACCTGAAAGTACAGAAACCTCCCCCCGTTCACAAGCAATGCTTTATTCCCAGTGCTAATTGGGCCAGAGATTCTGACTACAAGGCAACAAAGATAAGCCCTCTGGAAAACTACACAGCTGCATCAACTCTTCCTGCCCAAAAAATGATTAAAGCAAAAGAATAATCTGCAAATACAGTAAAAATGTTCACTTAGTCCAGCCTTGGGTTCCCAGATGTTGGTGGATGACAAACCCCAATGTTCCCAGCCAGCTAAGGCATGAGTGGCTGTTGTAATCCCCCAGCATCTGGGACAGGCTGATTTTAGCCTGCCTGCTGTGTGAAGCCAGCATAGGAAGTTTGGTTTCTATAGTAATTTGGTTTTATTCAGAGACACATGGCTTGTTTCAGTCCTTGCTGCTGAGGATCGTGGATAGGCACAGCAAGATGTATCTATTTTGAACACAGATCTTCAAAAAGCAGGTCAATACTGGCTTTTGCTAATGTGTTGGAATCAGCCAGCCGTCATAGGAAACGAACGTGCTTACTGCCAAAGCTTCATCATACTGCTTGTTAGAAATATACAGCTCCGCAGCTATATTAACATCTTCCATGGATACGAGGCTCTGATGTTTACTAAAGGCTTCCTCCATTATCTCAATAGCTGCAGCTATGTCGTTGGCTTCATAGTAACTCCTGTGGAAAATAATAGAAACGGGACCAGAATAAGTACAGATAACATATTTTACACATTTTAACAGGCACATGGAATAAAAGAAATCTCTGGAAAAGCAGGGCAACAACATTCACCAAGTGAAGGACATCTGTCATGCATTAATGCTAGTCAAGCACATGGCAGGCATGCAGTTCTGTGTGTTTAAACATGGAAGAAGACCCTGGATCGCCTCCTCACGTTATATTGGCTACAAAACTGGTGTGGTAGTAAGAGTGTTGGACCAGGGACCTGAAAGATGCAGGTTCTAGTCCCTGCTCAGTTATGAAGCTCACACTAGGTGCCTTTGGGTCAGTCACTCAGTCTTAGTCTAACCTACCTCACATTCTGAAGCTTGCAAGTTTGAAACTAACCACAGGTAACAATATGCATAATTTGATGGCTTTGGACAACAAGGCAAACCGTAATGAATGAAAAATGGGAGTAAATCCTTGTGAACTCCTCCCCATGCCTGTACTAGTGTAGGAAAAAGGAGCAGGGAGCATGTGAGTGCAGGGGGCGGCTGGGCTCACTGCAGCTTTGCTAAACCCTCATAAACTGTGACATCCCCATGCAGCCCTTGTCTGAGAGCTTGAAAATGTTTGTACTAACAGCAGTTTTCTGGATTTTACCCACTGATTGTTATGATTTCGGCAATACTGTTGCCTCCTTATACTGGATCAGCCTTCTGTTCCAATCCATTTCCCTTAAATGTCTCCTGAAAGCCCATCCCTGCGAAATATATTGAGCCCTATAGGATCAGGACATGGCATGAAGGCATCTGATGCAGTCTTGGTGCTGAAGCGAAACAAGTCCAGAGGACTAGATGATGCCTGGCTGAGAGACTACATGAGACTCTTCCTTAAGCTGGCTGGAGCAGCATGATGCAAAAAAGGGCATCCATACTATACATGTACTAAATAAAGAAGTCATCCTGTTCTGCCTGCTAGAACCCATCCATCAGCTTTTCCTTTCTCCTCTATCAAATACTCTCTCCTCTTCATATCCATCCTGGCTCTGTTTCTTTCCATATGTTCCTCTTCAAGCTACCAAGGGTGACTAGTCATGGCAACTATATATTCCCTCTGGCATCAGAGTCTGTATGCCTCTCAATGCCAGCTGCTTGGGAGTGAACTGCTGCCCTCGTGCCCTACTTGGGGGGCTTCCTAGATATCCTGCCTGCAAACCTGGGCAACTGCTAGAGGTAGCAGTGAGGATGCTTTTGGATCAGATGGGGAGTGCCCCACAGGCTACAGGAAAGGATCTGGCTGGTCACTCCAGCAACAGAATGCCGACAAGTGCGGCTCTGCTTATCTTCTTATCTCAGTCCCATTTGCTGGTGCCACTTTTTTGCCTCCATTGCAAATGCAATGTCACTGTAAGACTGACGAGAGCCAGTACAGTGGCATTGTGATGGGAGTGCTGGACTGGGAACTGGGAAATCTGGGTTCTAGTGCCCACTTAGCCATGAAGTTCACTGGATGACTTTGGGCCAGTCACTCATTCTCAGCCTCACATAAATCACAGGATTAATGTGCAGAATAAACAGAGAAGAGGGGCACGTAAGCCAGTTTGGAAGATAAAGTGATATATAAATACAAGAAGGCAGGCAGGCAGGCACACACACACACGCATGCACACGTTTCATCCCATTGCACTGGCACATTAGCTGTTACCGTCTTTCAAAACATTTAAGTACTGAGGGGATGTCACTGGTGTGTTCTGTACTGCACATGAAGCGACACTGGTAGCAAGAAAAACACACACTTTTTGGAATGGTAGTAACAAGAATACATCTCACTTTATCATGTTCTAACTGTGCTATCCAGTTCTTACTTTGCCATATCTCTAGCCAAGTGCATAAAGCGATCGCCATCAAAAGGGGTCAGGAGGTTTAAGATGCGCCTGTAGCCATCCATCGCTAGTTTATGTTCCCCCAGCTGTTCATAGAGACTCGACCTCTCCCACAAGTAACGCACATTAGTGGGATCATACTTCAGAGCTATAAAAAATAAAAGAGGGATTGTTGTATTTGAGAGAAAAATAAATTAATGTTAACAACAACAACTGGGTTGTCCCAAGACTTCACCTTGGCAAAAGAAAGCAGGAACAAAATTGGGTATTTGGTAGCTGGGGAAACTGCTTTGATATCATAGGAAGTGGGACGTCCATTTTCAGGCACAGTATACTTTTGAGGGCTGTGAGCCAAACAACCAAAAGAAAGGCCATTTACTCTCATGTCTTCCTTGAGTGCTCAATGAGGTGCTTGTCTGGTCTCCTCTGGAAACAAAATTATGGACCAGATGGAAAGACTGGCCTCATCCATCACAGCAGTTTATAACTTCCAAGGCATATAGAAATGATAACACTTAACAAAAGGACACTGGCTCTGACCCTCTAGAATAAGGTCAACTGTATCCTTTATTTTTTCATATAATCATTTCATTAGCAGCACTGTGTGACACTGCAATCATGCACTGGATCCCACAGGTCATTTTCTCATGTCATATCCAACACCAAGAGGTGCACATGATAATCCTGTTATATATTAGCCAAACCAACTCTTTAAACTAGCCTGTGTGTGAACATTTGATGGTTCACTCAGATGATAATATCTTGGCTTAATAAACAGAGATACAAAAACAGTTTTTGCTCATGCATACAGTTCCTGTGCTCCCCCCATTCACAGTGTGTCACAGTATGTCCTTAACCATATTTTCCTATTTTCACCCAGATCAGCTTTGATACAAGTCAAGATCTTAAACTGAGTTAATAAGATCCTGGAATATCTTGAAGCTTGCAACCAAAGCTTCCCTCTAAATTACAGGCTTCCTGACTTTCCAAACTATACTGCAAAGGAAGAAGCAGAGGATTGGAGCCAAGAAATGATACTACTAGTAATGAAATGATAGCAAGAAATAAAAACTGTACAGTGGGACTTCATATATAACAATCAGTAGATACCAGGCAAAAAATACCATTTAAATTATGTGGAATACGTTCCTCAGAGAGGTTTGCCTGGCACCAACATTATATGCTTTTCGGCACCAGGTTTTTAATTACCCAATATTTTAAAGTTTAAATATTTTAATCAGGTTTTATTAACATCCTCAATTGTATTTTATCTTGTTATTGATTGTTGTATTTATTGAGTATTTATTACATTGTAAGCCATCCAGAGACTATTGGTAAAGGATGGGATAAAAAGATCCAAATAAATAAATAAATAAATAAATAAATAAATAAATTTAATTGGATTAGATTACCTTTTGCGTAGCAGAAGATAGCCTGTTTAATATTGTCCTGCTCAAGCGACATTTCAGCTAATCTAACCCACTCCTCAGTGTCACTGGGGTTTAAGTGAGCAGCAATCAGTTCAAATTGCAAAGATTTCTCCATGTCTCCTTGGTCTTCATAAATCATGGCAAGAGTTGAGAATGGCTCATAAGCAACAGGAGCTATTCAAATGAGAAGAAACCATGGGTTAGCTCAGGGGTTAAAATTCAGTGATTACCAGCTTCTTTCCAAATGCAAACCACAGTGATGGCTTTGAGAAAGCCTTCAAATGGCATCGAAACAATAAGGTTGGACTGCTTGTTCCCTTATGTACTTGCTTGATGGTTAAGATCTTCAGGGCTAAGACCCTATTTCAAGGACCTAAGCCTTGAGAGAGGAGATGCACAGTTGCAAGGGTCCTTCTCCTGATCAGTTTGCCTACCTCAGAGTGCAGAATCTCTTACAGCCTGAGGCCCAAATGCCATTTCACAGAAGCTATTGAGGGCTGCATTCCAGTGCTAAACAGTGCTGAAGGCAAAAATGGCAGTGCCAAAATAGTTCAAGTAGGCCCACTGAGTGAGACTTAGACTTTAATTAAGTCTAGATTCTTCTTGTTGTTTAAAATGGTTTTAAATCTGTCTCTATCTGTTCATAAGTTGTCATGTATATTTTAATCCTGTATTTTAAAGGTTTTGCTCTTTGTAAACCTTCCAGTTTCTGTATAGAAATGTAGAAAAAATAATGAATGGAAGTTACACTAACACAGGATACCACCCAAACCTTCTAAGCCACTTCCTTTCTAAAGGTGATTTCGGGGATATGTGGGGGAAAGCACCCAATGAAGGCGAAGAAGTTATGCTTGGAAAATAAACAGGAAGGCCCCAGCAAATCTGCAGACCCAGGGAAGGAGCTCTTTAAGATCAAGTCAACAGAACTAGTAAACCAATTTGAAATCTAATCCAGTAACTCTCATAAAATCAAAACTACAGTGAACCTGTCATACACGAGCAGGTATGTTCCAAGACATCAGAGGTTTCCATTTAAAATCTAATTCAGCACACGTTTGCAAATGGATACCTTGCCTGATGATTTCCATGCACATCAGAATGGCTTCCCCATGTTCACCTCGAGCGAACCGAATATTAGCTTCACCCATGAGGCCTCTCAAGGCACGGGGCAGTTTACTGCGGGGTCGTTTTTCCTATGAAAGAGAGGAACAGCAGTTTGTTTCAATAAGGCTAATTTACACTCAGATTCAAGCTACATTACCTGCTTCCAATGAGATACGCATTTCTATTTCCTAGTAAAAATGCCACTTGAACTAGAGTATTTGTTGTACCCTTGATTATGTTTTGGCATTATAATCTGAGTAAGCCCCACATGCATTACTCCACAATTTGTTCATGAAAAAAAAAGGCTAAAGTTTCCCTCATCCTGAAATCAGGCTCTGCCATGGAAGTCTGCAATCAAGCAGTAATTCCTTCAAACATGAGCAAATCAGGCTCAGAAGAGATTAAGAAACATGTAATTTCCCATGGGAAATTAATGTTAGACACTGTAGTCTTCACCACAGTAATTCTGTGCAACTCATTCGTAGCTTGAGAGAGCCAAGAACCCCTTTCAGAGCCCAACCAATTCAATGGGGCTGAAATGAGCACTGGGATGTATGTCCAACTGCACACCCATATCTGCAACATGTACACAGATATCCCTCGCTGGGCTGTGGTCACTTTCCCAACACAGGGCTGCAAGGATGCCATTTTTAGCCACAGCAAAGGCCCCTGGAGATTTTTAACTCTTAAAACGCCTGCCTTCATCATTTTCTTAGTCTCTCTGTTCAGCACCATCTCCAGCGCAAACACATCTCCTGCAGTAGGTTGTTCAGAGATCTCATCATCTTCATCGTCTTCCTCCTCCTCTTCTTCATTTTCTCCCATCATGGAAGCAAAAACACGATGTACAGATTTACTGACCCCATCAGATGTCTCTTCTGGTTGCAGAGAGAAAGGTTTAAGATGCAAATTAGAAAGAATTGATGAATCAGAGAGATTTCAGAAGTGTAGGAATGCTTTATTGGGAGAAATCAGAAAGGTGTCTATTATTTACAGTACAGTTTTTATAGCAATTTATATCAATGTATCCTCCTGCATTTAAACAATGGAAGCCAGGATCATATAAACACTATGGCTGGGATCCTGTGCATGTATGAGGAAGCCTAAAGGATAACATAAGAACTCAATTCTAAGTAACTGTGCATCAGATCAACAGAAGCAGTGCGTATCTCTGAAATCCAGGTGATTTCTTTTCTATTCAAATCATTTTTTTTACGGTTCAGTTACCAGAACTAGCAAAAGATCACATTTGTGGTCTCTCCCTTCCCACTAGTCCACCTTCTTTGAACTATGGTAAAATAAGCAAAGCCTATCATGCCGTTACTTTCTTTCCAGCATTCACCCTACATAATCAGAGTGTGGAGCCGAGAATCATGTTGGGAACCTTTAGGGCAAATCACTAACTGTGATTGTCTTGGATAGATTTTAATTTGCATCAGAAACTGAACACATGCCCACCTTGAGCCCAGATAGGACTCACTCTACAGCCATAGAGCCCACACTTTCACAGCCCTTGGTTCAGTAGAACGATGAGCAGCAACTGCAGCAAAATAAAACTGAATATAGCAGAAAAGTAGCTCAGTTCTAAGCTTAGCTTCGTAACAGACCCTTTAGATAAGGCACAAGTGAATAGGAAACCATTCCTGGGATCACTACTTCTGACAATGCGAATTTCACACAGACTGATCACCAAAACCACATGGTTTGGTTTAGAACGGCCAGCAGGGATCTTAACTAATCCAAAGCATTTTATGAGCTGACATTTAAATGTGACCTTAGCACTGCCTTTCCCAAACTGGTGTGTTAGTCTGCATCTCCCACCATCCCTATTCTGAAATGGCCATGCTGGCTGGGGATAGTGGAAGTTGTAGTCCCACATATCTAGATGGTGCCAAACCAGGGAAGTCTGCTTTAGCCTGTGCTTCTTTTACTGGCCTTTAAAGCCCAACTATGTTTACCCTTTACGAAAAAGCATTTTCAGAACGCAAGGGAAATATTGAATATTCTTGAAATAGCTTTTCTCCATAGATTATTTGCTAAACTAATTGAGATTCATTAGCACAGGAGCTTATACAATTTCCGCTATGGTAGTTAGGCCATTAAAACAATAAAAGGCCCTTTCGACATTTGACTACAGCCATTCCAAGGCTGCAGGCAGATTATAACACAACATCAGCGAATTACAGGCAATAAAAGTAGAGGCCTTTTATGCACAGGTTCATTTTTTCTGTTCCCCTACTTCAGTGGCCAGACAGGTTTTTCCAGGTTTTTCTGCTGCTTTTGGATCATACCCTGACAAAGAGGAAGCTAGCGACAATTAGTGCAGTAAGCACTGTGGCAATACAACTGTGTGCTTTTTCGTGTCACTGTCAAACACCTTTGGCAGAGCCTTTTGTTAGGGGCAGCAAAATTTTTCACACCTCACAATTGCACAGGGCATTTCTGAAACTGTTTGTAAAGCAACAATTCAGTCTGACAAAAGGTGGGCAGCTTCCCATCAATGTAACTCTTTAATAAATGGGGGAAATGGAGCAACATTACCTCCTCTACACAATGTCTCCTAAGGAGTGAAATTGACTGAACCAGAAGCTGCTTGCTATCTGATCCAGCCAATTCCACCATTTCAGAGATTCGTATGAGACCATGTTTTGCAATTGGGAGAATCTCTGCTGTTAAGTAGCCTTTCCTACTTCGTTACATTTGCATAGATTTCAAGCTACTAGCTGTAGATTAAGAGTAAGATGATGGTGATGGTTTTAAGGAAGCTGCTTCCTTGGCCCCCAAATAAATAGTTATTTATACAGTTTAACCCATTTATTATGTTTTCAGAATATTCATAAAGGTGAATATTCAAGTGACAATTTCCAGAGGCTGTTAAGAAAAAACAAAACGGAACAACTTGAGGCCATAATAAGTGGGATCACTGAAAATAATGAAACAACCAATTAATACAAAAGTGATGGTTATGCTCAGAGTACTTTTTAATTAATAGGGGAGACCTGCACTTCCATGTGAGTCACAGGGAACATCTAGATTTTATTTCACCGGGTTCACTTGACTGGGGAAGAAAAAGTGCAACCAGTGCTCTCAGGGGGATGGAAAGCACGAAAGCCCAGTCACTATGTAACTCTGCCTACAAGTATTTTTCAAGGCTCAGTCTCAAAATCAGACTAGCTCTGTGGAACATTTTCGGCTGCAGGGACACAGGTAATGCCTTGTTTTTCTGTCACAGAACAGAGCAGGCCACCTGAATAACAAGCCTACAAGACCTCCCGCATCTCCCTCTTCCCCCCTTTTTTTTTCAGGAAATCAGTGGGCATTTTGGGAGTACTATTGTGGCATTGCTGAAGCTAAGTGGGCATTAATGGAGGAGTTCTCAGAGTCCCAGAAGAAGTTTTGATCTTTCTAAGGAAGAGGAGGATGTTAATGTAACAAAGTAACGAGCAATAAATCTGGAAGCCAATGACAAAGGCAATCCCACTATGATAGTGGCAAGTCTGAGAACACAGGAAGCTTGTCACTTGAGGGCAACCTTCTGTATGCTTTGACAGGAGAAAGACCCACAGCTCCCAGCAAGACTGTCCCACCTTGAATGACAGGCCTAAATGGAGGTGCTGGAAAATGTGCCTGAGATCTGTTGTGTTCTCAATGAGTTACAGCCAAACCAGTAAACCATGTAATGCACAGCCATCACTGAGTTCAAGAAAGTAGTGGTTGTATTTCCTCCCCAAGCCAGGTGACCATAGTGCATATGTTTTTACTGGAGGTGGTGGTGACATATTTAACAAACATCCCTTGTAGTATGTACCTTCAGTTTCACTGTGACCCTGATGTCCGGCCGAAGTTCCTTCTCCGGATGTGGAAGGAGCATCTGGGTCTTCCACATTTCCCTCAGTGAGTACATTTTCACCATCCTGTAAAGATCCAAAAAAAGGTCACAAAGAGAAATCATGTATTGCATAATGGTACTGCTAATACAGGACGCAGTTCCAAAAGCATGCTATCCTAAGGTGTGGAACCAGGTCCTGAGTAGTAAGGTAAGCTTGGATTTTAATGTTTTAAATTAAATTGAAATTTGTTTAATTAAGTGTTCATAACTGTTTATTAAGAGTTAAGGTGTATTAATTTAGGTTAATTAAAATAATCTTATTTATTTTATTTCTATCCTGGCCCTTTAGCCAAAATGGCTCTCATTAATAACTCATTCAGTAACAGGCCAAATACTTCATAATTAAGATTTTAATGGCTCATATTGGATTAAACTGCTCTAAATTACAAACAGGAATCTCTATTGAAATATATCCAGAAAAATGTCCCCCTTTTCAGCTTCTTCTTGACATAGTTCCTCATCAATTCATTGCTTTCCTATTGCACCCTTTTTAAAAAATTGAGTCCCAGCCTGACACTCTTCCTGGAAAATACTGGCCAGGCTTCCTCAACCTAATACCCTCCAGATGTTCTGGACCACAACTCCTAGCATGCCTAGTTGGGGAGGATGCCGGGCATTGTAGTCCAACACTTCTGGAAGGCATGGAATATATTGGTGAAATCTGCCTCAAGCTGAGACAGAACTCTGAGTTTCATAAGCAGCCCATGTTACTTTAATCTGAATTAATGAACTAGGCAGAGAGCTGAGACTATATTCCACTCTTTGGATTTAGACTTAGAGTAGACCCACTGAAATCACTGGGATAAGTGACCCAGGCATAATGAAAGTCCTGCTGACTTCAAGGGACTGGTTTTAAGTATGACTGAGTCAGGATCTACCCTCACTAATGCTACTAGAAGCTGCTTCTCCATTTCTAACTGCAGCTGTCCAGTTGCCACATCATGTACTAGTGTGGAGAGCATGTTTTGGCCCAAAGGTTACTTGCACCTGGGATTCCAGCATCTAAATACAACAAACCAACTCCATGTTATGCTACTACTTTGCAAGGGAAGATTCAGCAACAGAAATAGGATCACCTAGACAAACCAAGTTCCAGTTGACTCAGGCCCCTTCTTTATTCCTCTAAGCCTCTAGCTCAGCTACTTTAATGTATCTGCTCTTGGTAATGAGAATCACAGAATCATAGATTAGTAGAGTTGGAAAGGGCTAAGAAGGCCATCATGTCCTTCAGCCTTTGCAGGATGTCAACACACATCATCCATCTCACTTAGATGACTGTCCAGTTTCTCCTTGAATGCCTCTAGTATGGAGGAGCCCACAACCTCTCTAAGCAACTGGTTCCACTGCCGTATTGCTCTGACAGTTAATTTGTCTGCTCTTTATAATGAGAAAGCAACAAAGACTTATTAAGAGTAGTACATCAGACAGAAATTCAAAAATACAGACTCCTCCCGCTGTTCTATTTCCATCCTGGGAAAAGCTTCCCATGTTGAATGTCAGTCTGGCACAATTTTCTTGTCATGAAAGAAGGTGGTGATCCTTCTGTTCAGATCTGGATGGTTGCACATGCTGAAAGTCATCAGAAATTCTGATTCTTTTAGTCCATTCAGGAGAGCAGAGCCTTTGCTCTCACCCCCCCCCACCAAAAAAAAGTATGGCTTTTACCTGAACTAATTTGTCTGGAGTAGCTACAGGATGGTGTCTCTTAGAGCCTCCAGAAAGAGCTATGCTCAGCTCATCAGGCTCCTTTCTCCAGTGCATGACAATCCATGGCAAAACCATAGTGTTGCTCTTGAAATTCAAAGCAGTAAAAGAAATGCACACACAAAATACTAAAAAGGCTTGCACTTCAAGCCTTGCCTGGGTCCTCAAGCTTTCCCTGGATCCAATAATGTCATGGACGGAAGTGAAGCTGAATCCTACAAGATGGAGGTACCATGGGTAGCAGGTGGGGCAACGGGGGTTCAGTGGGCAGCAGCCCTCTCCCACTGAGGTTGCCCAGTGCCTGCTATGTTGAGACAAATTGCCAGTGTGCAACCACCCTGACCTGATAGCATTATCTTCCATGAATTCATTGCATCCCCTTTTAAAGCTGCCCAAGGTTGGCTGCCACCACCATAGTATAACTTTGCACTGTGTGAAGAAGGGCTTGTTTTTGTCTATTTGAAATTTGCCACTATTCAGCTCCACTGGATGACCCTGGGTTTTAATTATTACGAGAGAAGTAGAATAACGTTTCTTCACATTTTTCTCCACCCCATCACAAATGTGGCAACAATTCCTTTGCAGGAAAGTTGAATTGGTTCCTTAATTATTTTGACTGCCCTTTGCTGTATCTTTTCCTTCTCAAAGTCTTTACATATGACAACTAACACTGTGCAAAGCAAGTCCAGTCACAGCTCTGATACTTTGCAAAACTTCAGTAAATCTTGCATGTGGAGGGGGCAGTATTATGTACACACTTCTTAAAATGTATGTGCATAATGCAGAAAATCAAATTTACCATACTGAATAACTTAACACTATTCTCTGGCTTATGTAAATGTAGTCTTATCATTTTATTTTTAAGCCACTTTATTCTAAGCTATTGAATAACACCTTCTAGAGACTTGGGTACAATCCACAGTAAACCCAATCAGACTGAGAAAAAAGTTCCAAGAGAACTGCTACATGTGTTTCTGTTTCCAAGAGACAAGCCGGAAGCCCAACAGCCAATTCTCAAGTCCAGCTAAACTTGAGTTTAGAAACATGAAAACACAAAGGAGAACAAAAGAAAAAAGGCGGAACCTTCCCCCCCCCCCCAAGACTTTTTTACCCTTCGGGGGGAAATGAGGTTTCTTTCTAATTCTTCCACCCCTTATGGCGGCAATTCTTCACAACTCTATTTGGGAGGGTCAGAGTTGGAGACAGAGAATATCTTTTCTGGACCTGACATAATTGTGTCCATGCAGTAGAAGTACGTATTATGAGAAAAACACAGCTGCTGCCAAAATTAAAGGGTTCGCTCCCTCCATAATGCCTAGTACAAATTAACCTTGTCCAAACACCTTGCAAGCATAGCCATGTGACAAGGGACACATTCCTCAAAATTTCCACCTTTATTTATATATTTATATAAAACATTTGTATGCCACCCAATTGTGCCACAGCACCTCTGGGCAGCTCACAACACAAGAGGGAGGGAGGAGCAGTTAAAAATTAAGTAGGGGGAATGACAGTTTGTGCCAGGCAGCATATTCGAATTGCTGCCAAAAGCTGATCTTACCAGGGGACATTTCTGATCTGAAACCAGTAGTGGGAAGTTATTTTTTCTTCTCACCCCCACGTGACGACCTTATTTGACAGGTGGACCTATTTTTGTGGGTTCTAATGATATCTACAAAGAAAGATTTGCATTCACAAGGGTGATCTTTTCCATCTAAAAACCTCCTCTTTGTCTTATTATTTTCCAGATTAATTCTCATGTCAGTTTTACTTAATGCATTGCATTAGTCAATATTACTCACTGCAGATTTAATTTCTTGTAAACTGCCCAGATTCTATGGAACTCAAAGTTTGAGTTTAAAAATCTGGTTTGACCATTCCGACATCTCCTGAAAAGCTCTGGCTATGAGAAACAGAGTTTTACAAAAGTGTGGAAAATCTCTCACGGAATTTCTGCAGGAATGGAAGTAAATAATAGATAATTAAGGCTGTACTCCTATACACATTTATGCGGGAATAAGTCCAACTAAACTCAGTGGGGCTTCTATCTGAGCAGATATGTGTAGGATTGGAGCCTAAGGCACCAATATTTTGCACACTCACCTGGAAGCAAGTCCACCTTCCAGGGGACTTACTCCACAGCAACCATGCACAGGATGGGGCGGCACAGCAGGCTCTTCCCCATAAAGATGCTTTATCCCGCCCCCCTTCTTTGCTCTTCTCTGTTCTGCAGCATGCAGCTTATCTTAGTTTTCCTCCCTCCTTCAGAGTTCACCATCATGTTTTTCAGGGCTGTATTGGATGATGGGCGGTTCCCTGCAAATGACACCGGTTTTCATTCTTTGGCTACATCATTTTATTTCCCACGATAGCTGAGAGCGCAGAGGAGGAAACGACGAAGCTGTCCACGGGCAGCTCGATCGCAGAAGAGAAGAAGGGCCGGGGGCGAGGAGAATAAAGGTGCCCCAGAGCGGCAGGACGGAAGACCTCACCTTCTTCTCGCGACTTTTGCGCTCTTCCCGGCGCCGCTCAAACTCCTCGAAGGAGATTTTCCCATCCAGATACTCGATTAGCTCGGGGCTAACACCCGACATGTTACGCTCGGCCGAGTAATAAATCCTAGGCTTATTTTAAAGGTGTCAGCTAAAGCGGCAGGGCGCTTATTTTGCGTCGGACCACTGGTCCCACACTTAAAGGAGTCCGACTCTACGGAAAGGACGGGGAACGGCGCTATCGGCGGCGCATGCGTCCAAGCGGCCTCTGTGCGCCGCGCGGGGATCAACGTGTCGTTGCTTCATACGCCTGCGGGAGAGACGAGCGTCTTCCTCCTAGTCTTGGGAAAGAGCATCGCATGGCATGGCATGGCATGGCATCATACCCTTGTGAAACTGCTTCTCATAGCCTGAGTTTTTCAGGGGAAAATAACGGGATAGGAGATGATAGCGCTTGGGAGAATGGCCAGACGGCTCCATCACCTAAGGCTGCAATCTTCTGTGTATGCGCCTACCTGGGAGTAAGTCCTCTTAAAGTGATCATAGTAAATAAGCATAGGAGTGCACCGTAGTGGGTTTAACTCTATATCCTATCCCTTGTAGGTACAACTTTCTGGCCATTTTGCAGAATTACACCCTGTCCTACCCCAGCAGCCCTAACCTTGCCTATGTCTTTACTGAGTTACTGAGACTGCGGTTACTAGTAAAGGTTTATAAGCAACACTGAGGTGTCCCTCCAGCTTGCCTAGATAGAGCATTAGCTGAGAACCCCACCTCCCCCCGGTTACCAAGAGTAACTGCAGAGGCTATTAAAGGGAGATAAAACAGCAGCCCTTCTACAATACCCAGGGCCTACTGAACTTTACAAACAACAATATAGTGCCCGGATTTGCCTTCCCCCCCCCCTTCCTTCCCACTTCCACTGTGTCTTTTTGATTATAAACTTGCAGGCTGGGATATTCTTATTTCTTATCTTTGTAAGTCACCTTGGGAGCCTTTCTGCTAAAGGCTAAAAATGCTATGAATAAAATAATAAGATTCAGCACAGGCTAGGAATCTTACATTTTTACAGTTACACAGAAGGGAGAACTTGCAATTCTATGCACGTTAAGGAAATATGGTTGCTTTAACAATAGAATCCCCTAGCACTGCTGAAATTGCTTTTCTAATTAGCTGGAAGTGGAATTGCAAGTAATATTCCACGTAGCACTTTAGTATTCTGCTGTTATATCGTTTTGCACAAATTTATCTTCTGCTTACTCACAAGTATGTCCTATTTAGCAAAGGACTCCAGCAACCTTTGTTTGCAAGCTTAGCCAGTTTTATTGCTTCATGGTGATACTTGCAGATGGCTTGATAAATACCCTTTTCATTACATCTGGAATAGCCAATATCAGGTGGGAAGCAATTGCCTAGTTCCTTTTTTTTCTTGATTTGCAAAAATGTAGTACTGTACAGGAAATCAACAATCAAAGCCTCATCTGTAGTATGATAACCAAAGTAAAGTGGGGACAAATCAAAGGGTACCGATCTAATAAAGCATAATTGCTCAATTATGTTAAAAAAGAAATTCACCACTACCCAGGACTGGCAAAACAAAGGACAACCACACAGAAAATGTTGGAATGCAATTATTTGTTGATGTCATCAGGGCCCCATAAATTGTAGCTGAATTAAGGATGACAGCTCCAAAGAAGCAAGTACCACTAGACTCCATGACACTTCCAAAGAATAAATGTTCATAGGGTCTTTCCACACATCCCACTGGTTTTAGTGGCACTGAAAGATGCTTCAACTTTCAGGATTGTGCCATGGATGCATTCCAAGAGTCAACAGTTGTGTAAGACATCCTGAATCCAGACAAACTGCTTTCATACTATTTGCAGTCTTTCAAAGGAGTAGCCATGTTAGTGCGGCAGGAATGAAATCAGCCTTTCTATGAAGACAACTCTTTTAGGAAATAAACTCATCTTTCCCAAAGATGCTACAACTTTTACAATTGTTATTTCTTTTATATTGTCATTTCTTATATATTGTTAATTTTATATTGTTATTTTTGTATTTTATTGTATTTTACTTTGTGTTGTGAGCCGCCCCAAGGCTTCGGCAAGGGGCAGCATAGAAATGTTTTAATAAATAAATAAATACAAAGTGTTGCAACTAAATACCAGAAATAATGGGATGCTGTCAAGGGCCATTATGGATAACATTCTGCTTTACATTACTGATACAGTCCAAATTCAGGATGACAGAAGGAGGCTAGTTCTAGCTTCTTTGTTTATGAAGCTATCCAGAATGGTGATGAACATTGTCAGTCAACTGCTGTTAGCTTAATGAGTATAAATCCAGGGGGTATCAAGCTGACTGAACATTACATGTATTCAAGCCTCTGAAGACACCATTAGCCAACTAGGGTTTCTCCTTTTACTTGGTCTTTATGGGTCAGCTGGGTTGAAAGAGATCTTTGTTAAGTATCTTAATAAATTAGTTTTATTGTTCTAATACAATGACTTTCCTAATTGTGGTGGACTCCCATCATTTCTCACCATTGATTATGCTGACAACGGTTGATAGGACAGGTTGAGTTGCAGTTCATCAATATTTGGAGGGCCAAATGTTCTTCATTCCTGTTCCAATAGTATAAACTGTAAGTTAGTTGCTGCTCACTCCTTGCTCCTTACACTGCTAATCTCTTAAGCAAGTCCTACTGAGTCCATGATTCTTTTAGTGTGCAGCCCTCTGGGCAGCTTCCTGGATGCTTATAAGCCCCCAAACTTGGAGGTGTACAAGCATCTTTTGAAGAGTGAAAGGACTCACAGATGATTCTGCCTCCATGCACCTGCAGTCTCCTCCTGGCCCACAAGAACATACCCTTTATCCACAGAGAGGGAGCTGGCATGATTGTTTCTGCACTGGCTGCAAGGGTGCAGATTCCCAGCTCTGAAATCAGATGTGTGGGCTTTGCCCATTGATGACACTTGCCATGTGTTTCAATAATGAATAATATGTTAATGAATCAACCAATAAAACAACTTTGTCTAGAATCTTGCTGATGGTTGTAGAAATGGCATCCCACTCTAAGCTTGGGGCCAATGTATGTATGCCCATGGAAACACCTCAAGTTGTATTTACTAAAGTTGCATTAGTGTATCTTGTTAAGCTATTTCTAACTGTACAATTTGGTTGCAAATTATGTTAGGTATTTAACTTTATTTTTAGAAAGAGCCAGAAGGGCAAAAATGACAAATAATTAGGGAAATAAGTGCCTCTTTTAAACATTTAAAAACAAAGAACTCAGTTGACAATGTTTGGTGTGATAGTGTTTATTTACTGTTCTGCAGAATGGTTTGGTGATACAGTTTGAATTTCTCATATGTTTACATTTAAGCAAGCAAGAATAATAAGCAAACTGTGGGCTGCAGATTTCAATCTGCAGTATCTGGCCTTTAAGGGAAATGATAGCATGTCAGATAATAATAATAATTTAGGCACACTTCTCCATAGATAATTCCGAATAATCTGGCATTCTTAAGCAGCCACCTGCAAAATCAAGGAGAAAATCTGATTAAATGAAGTCTACATTGTATGAAAATATTTGTAATTTTGTTCTTCCATCCCCACTTCAACAGCCAGAACTGTTTGGTTGTCAGGTGAAGTTCCAATATTCAAAGATTAGTATCAATTATTTTGCTGAAGTACCCATGCATTTCACCCAGTCAGATTATGCCATGTTTAATTCCTGGGATCTCTGCTGGCCATGAGTCAACTACTCTACTATGGTTCATAGCTGGCCATTCTCGGTAGTTTAGTTCTGCTCATCCTTTAGAGCAGAGATGCCCCATCTCTTACCCTCCAGATGCTTTGGCCTATCACCCCCATTAGCCCTGACAGGTGAGGGCTGATGCAGTTGTAGTCCGAACAACATCTGGAAGGTACCATGTTTCCCATGCTTGCTTTAGAGCTTAAGGCAGATTGTAGGTAGATGGGTGAGATTATTTCTTTTCCTCAGAAGACTAAAGTAAACTGTTCATTTCAATAGGTTAATCTAAATAGGACTTATACTGGATTTCACCCTCTATTTTCCAGAAAAAAAAATCCCTGAGATTCAGAATCACTATAGTACAGGGTGGCCATTTATGCACTGCCAAAAATGCAGACATAGATTTGCATAGGCTTAATTATATGGAGTCCTCCATAGATCACTGCCTTGTTGTGGCGAAGGGGCTTGCGTAGCTCAATGAAGCTATGAGCTATGCTGTGCAGGGTCACCCAAGACGGACAGGTCATAGCAGAGAGCTCTGATAAAATGTGATCCACTGGAGAAGGAAATGGCAACCCACTCCAGTATCTTTGCCATGAAAACCCCACGGACAGGACCAAAAGGCAAAAAGATATGACGCCGGAAGATGAGCCCCTCAGGTCAGAAGGTGTCCAATATGCTACTGGGGAAGAGCAGAGAGCTAGTACTAGTGGCGCCAGAAAGAATGAAGTGACTGGGTCAAAGCCGAAAGGACACTCAGTTGCAGATGTATCTGGTGGTGAAAGGAGAGTCCGATGCTGCAAAGATCTATACTCCACAGGAACCTGGAATGTAAGATCCATGAATCAAGGCAAGCTGTATGTGATCAAACAAGAGATGACAAGACTGAACATCGGCATCTTGGGAATCAGTGAACTAAAATGGACAGGAATGGGTGAATTTAATTCAGATGACCATCAGGTATACTACTGCGGGTAAGAATCCCTCAGAAGAAATGGAGTAGCCTTCAAAGTCAATAAAAGAGTAGGAAAAGCAGTACTGGGATACAATCTCCAAAATGATGGAATGATCTCAGTTCGAATCCAAGGAAAACCATTCAACATCACAGTAGTCCAAGTCTATGCACCAACCACTGGTGCTGAAGAGGCTGAAGTTGACCGGTTCTATGAAGGCCTACAACACCTTCTAGAATTAACACCAAAAAATGATGTCCTTATC